CATATAGACCAAATGAACACATATATTATTGACGGTATACACTCTAACTAAATCTGTTAAGCTTAGGACTTGATACATACTTGATTAAAGTGGGGGAAAATGAGGCCATATGTTCTGCCATGACATTAATTGTTTGTGGTATAAATAAGACATTTGATTGGTTGAGGAACAAACTGATTCTGTTTAATTGTGGTTTTACTCCTGAGCAACTGAAAATAATATTTGCACAGTAATATATATCAGAACTTGCGATTTCCAACGATGCTAAATACTGAGTTTGTCCTATGTTTTCGATAAAACAATATAATTATGATGACGCTATATGTAAATAGATGCGAAAAGTTGAAATTTTCATAGATTGTAATTTAAATGTTTCATCAAAAACTGAATATCATTACTTCTTTATAATCCTGAAGTTATGTTATTCTAGTCCAACAACCTTCTACTGAATGTTGAACAATTTAACTTCTACAGAAGAAAAAACCGGTACCTCCTCTGATGCATTATCCTATACTTTAACATCAAATTTTATGTAAATCCAATGTAGATGCTACTTAAATTGTAACTAAGGGCCCAGCGCTTTAGCCAACAAAGTTAAGGATCGTGAAACTTGGGGTAGGGTGTGTGGGAAGGTTGTCTGTTTTATGAAATGTGGTCAATCTTTGCATAAAAAGAATAGTCATTTCGTGATTACTGCGCGTAGCGTTGTTTGGGTCAAGGCGGACTTCTGATCTGTCCAAGCAGTACTTTCCAGAAAATTGTCAGTGCTTTTATATTATTACGAGACGAGTGCTAATCGAGAATCCTTCTGTGAGCCGCCTTGCGTCGTGTCTGTGTATACCGAGTGCGGACGGTATACCTGCCGGTAAACATGGACTTTTCTGTAATTCCAACGCAGTTTCCTGGACACAAAAACAGCACGCGCTGCGTTAAATTTGTGAGTGCGCAAACGTTTTTAATAGGGTTTACTATTTTGTTTCTGCCATATTTTTCAACCATATATTGTCTTTTATGATTGTAAACTTAATCCATTTCAGTATAAGTCGTTAGTTATTCATTGATCGTGTGGGGTTATTTACTGATTTCACGGTTTAGTTATAGGTGTTGAGTGAACATTCCTGTTGAAGGTCATTATCAACACATAACACAAGAACAAAATAGCAATATGATTCCGTATTGACTACAATTCTGAAAAATATAGAATATAAGTTATTAATTAAAGCATGGGACGGTGACCGATAAAACGTAATATCAAACTTGGCTGCCTGTATTTAGGATTGCACAGTGACAAAGGACATTCCTGTTTGCTGCAGGTTGTTGGTCGTTCCTCTCAACCAATACGTTTGTAGGCTTGTCAGCACCATACCCGTGCTCGTGGGTTCCACCAAAGTGCTAAACGTGTAAGACCTGGGCTTTCCTACCATAAAAAAGCTTTTGAAATGACTGGAAAACTGTTCAAAAACGGTGTTAAACCTAACTCACGCACTCACCCAGACAGTTTTAGATATACTCCACCCTATACAGGCGCTATATACATGTGCTCCTCACTATACAGGCTCTAGAATATAAACACATACTGTCATGGGACATAAGTATTCGTCAATTGGCAAAATTATCACAGACCTTCATGTTATTTTAGTGTAGCTGTAATAATTTTCATTAATACAGTTTCCGTTATTTGGTTGTCAGATTTAGCAGTTTGTTAGGAAATCATCTTGGTCACAGATACATAATTTCCATGTAATGTTCCTTCAAGTATTTTCCGCATTGTAGTTACATGAGCAACATATATATGTCAGGGTAGAGATTGCGATCTCCGATTCTACCAGAAGAGATTGCGATCGGAGTCTCTACCAGTAGAGATTGCGATCGGAGTCTCTACTGGTAGAACAACAAAGACACTTTCCTTGCTGAACAATAATATGCATTTTATTCAGATATAGCACTAGACTGTTTCCAGCTCACTGTTGTGACATATTGTTTTATGTTTATATTCGATATCTTCCTATGAAAAGTGCACACATCAGTGATTATTGATAACAATTAATGTCACATTTATGACGGATCTAAATGTTGCTAATGTCATTTATTGATGGACATAGCTGACAATAAAGTGTGATGTTTTCTAAAATAAACATTGATATTTTATTTTTTTAAATTTTAGAGTTACATTTATTTACAATAACAATCATAAATGAAAACAAAGTAACACTGTTTTATTTTCGTTTTGTTTTTAAACAAGTCATACAAACAGTGTACACTTTTCAAAGGAAGATGTCATTCTACAATATATGAAAATAAATTTTGTTTTCTAAATATTCACTTAGATTGCAATCTCTACTAGTAGGATCAGATTTGAGCTTCTACTGGTAGAGATTGCGATTGTATTGGTTATTCTATGTAATCAGTCTCTACTGGTAGAGACTCCGATTGCAATCTCAACTAGTAGGATCGGAGATTCTACCAGTAGAGACTCTACCCTGACATATACAACATTCGTTCCCCATAGACCGCCATGTTAAAAATTGTCATAATCATGACACGCATCAATCAAAGTGTGGTCATTCTCGAAATACTGAATGGAAAATAAAACGGAAATTATGTCTTTGCAGCTGAGATGATTCATGAAACACGTGCAAAATATGAACAAGATCAAACTAACAAGAAAAAATCAAGACAATTTTTCTAGCTGCACCAAATTAACATGCAAGTCTATGGAAATAATGCACAGTGACAAATACTTATGTCCATTGACTGTACACATGTAGATAATATGCGTGCTACTAATTTGACGCGTCCTGTAAATTACGTTATCATAATATTATTTGGCTGAAAAAATGAAGTGTACAAAAGTAAAGTCCAAAACAGATGCCCGTATCAGATACATCAACATGGAATGAGCATTACTTGGTTCTTTCATGTTTAGTTAACCACAATCCAATATGGGTGCATGTGTTATTCTCCTTTGCCCTCAATTTTAATTCATTAACGTTGACAGTTAACCACTGATATGTGTTAACCCTAAGTACACGCGCGGTTTCGTGACTGAAATAACTGTCAATATGGTATCAAAACCAACTCACAGAGAAATATGTATTGCTTTTGTCGAACGCTTAAGCCAACAGAAACAAAATGGTGTGAACTAACCTCTCTTTGAGTCCCGAAAAAGGTCGTGCAGCATTTCTTGTCGATGACGTCCCAGATCAAAAACACTAATTCCGTGTGGGGAAGCTTCAGAAACGTACACAATTTAAACTGAATTACATCCACACTTCTTTAGACTAATATGTTCTATGTTCGGAATATGTTTGAGTATTCGTTATGTTAGCTGCAATTTCTCGTCAATTGTCGTCTGAAATGAACGCTGCATAAATCTCGTGCAACGGAAATAAGCTCTGATTGGCTGATACCGAATACACAGAATCACGTGATATTGCCATCGAACACCTGCAGTGAAATCTACAACTTTCAAACAGCATTTTGACACCTGTTTGTATAAATATTTGATTGTCATGACGAAAAATCCGACCTCTGGTTTTATTCGTTGGCTCAGTTTTGGTCGTGTGTTTTTGTTTCATAAAAAATGGTATTCGGCTGTTTGAGCCATTGGTTAGCTTAATGCATTTTTTCCCCTAATGCACGATGATTACTGCACACCCTCGAGAGTACAAATCTTAGCACATAATGTCATTCTTATAATAATAATCTGACAATTTATAGATTGTCGTCATATAGCTGGAATACTGCTGAATGCGGCGTAAAACGCCAAACAAACAAACAAACAAACCAGGTGTAACTAACAGTAGTTCCTGCTGGTGGCCCTTAATTGCATATTAATCAGATACCAAACGTATTACATCGGTTAATCGTATCGCTAATAATATTCTGACCTTATCTCGTGTATTGCAAAGATATCTTTTCAATAATATAATTGGGTTCTGTTGCTGGTATTGAATTTCACATTAACACGGGTGATATTTACTTTGAATAACAAGGCTACATTTCTGTATGTTGTCGAATATAAATCGATTTCTTTTTTTAGACATTAGGTGGGAATTTCCCAAAGAATTCAAAACTACGAAGTGCATTTATGTTCACGATGTATTTGGATATTTATTCAAGAGAAATGAAGAGGACGGTGCATATATTTAAAGATTGGTGTAGAAAAGTAGCAAACATCAAAAACGGGCACATTTACCTATGGCTTTGTAGACCTGGTACACATAGGCTTCATTGTATGCAGAAATAAGAACGTTGTAAGACATTTTGTACAATGTATACGTTTGTGAAATTGTATAATGTGTACATCATCAAGTCCGGTACTGAGCAGTGCACAAAGCCGGCTGACGATCAAATCACTAACCACACGTACGTGTATGGCTGGAGATATTCAATGCTATCTCTGAAATATTTTTCCAAATGTTCAGGGATTTCTGAAAACCTCACGAAACAGAAGCAAAAAAAAGAGATTTCTCCTCGCAGTTTGTCTGTAGGAGTACGTCTAACTGGAAGAAGAGACTGACGGCAAAAAGAGGAAGGTCCTCAGGACCAATTGTTTACTAGTATATCACACTTTCAACAAATACAGATTCTTGAAGGTGGGCATAAGTTCAGGTCATATGACTTGCCTAAAACTCTGAATAACCAAACAGTACATTACGTAAGAAAATCTAAGTCTGAAGGACATCCTTTTCCCAGAATATTTTAAGCCAGAACAGCACATCTCTACACCTACCGGGCAAATATTACTCCAGTACAGTGTCCCGGTCCACAAAGCGTTCGTAATGTTACGAGTTATCATAACTGTCATAGGCTTACGAATGACATACGGCTACGAAGGCTTTGCGGATCTGACCCATTTGATTCTTCAGATCGTACAGATTCTCTCTTAGATTGTTTAACCAATATTCCAGCAATATCACGGCGGGGGCCACCAGACATGGGCTTCACACCTTGTACCCATGTGGGGAATAGAACCCGGGTCTTCGGTGTGACGAGCGGCTTTAACCACTAGGCTACCCCACCGTTCCTTCCGTTTCTAACCTTTAGCTTACCATTTGTCATCTACACAGGTAAATCAGGTGTAGTATGATCTTCACACAAACGCTGGGCCTGGTATGGTGGCCTGATTGTGGTGTTTGTGATCTATGGCCCATTTTCACACTATTGTTGAATAATATTTCATGCCTTTCATGTTCTCAAACTAGTTTTAAATAGAATGTCGTTATTGAACTGCACGACAGGTTATAATACAGTCTAATTATATTTATTATATACGACTAAAACCTTAAGTAAATGCTTACTCACTCACTCACTCTTCCAGTACTTAAGTCAAGAGTCACCAATAGCTAACTGTAATGATTCAACGCCGTTATCAATATCATTTTCACCTATATTGTCTCTCACTTCTGTGGCATCTGGCGAACGCGTCACGTCATCAGTTCTCTCAAAGAAAACCAGTCCAATCACGTGGGTCGCACTGTATTACACGTGCTGTTCGTGCTGGTAAGTTGTCATTTTCATGTGGTTCGGATATGCTTTTTCACGAGATACAAAAATGACAGACTGCACAGACGTGATCTGTATGCATTTGACATAAAAACATTCGTAACTAGAGATATCAGGTGATAGTACGCACAACATAAACCCACGGGCAAAAGAAACGTCACCAAAATTATGTTTCATTTTTTAACGTACCTTTGTATTTTTTTCAATAAAATCGGGTTGAAATAACTTGCCCGAACGCAAACAACATACACTACGCATTGAATTGGACGAGATTCATGTAATTTGTGTAAAAATGTTAAATTTGCAGGGGACTTTTGCGAAATCCCTTCGTAAAAAGCCGTATTGAATTCAGGTATAAAATGATTAGAGAAATGATGTATTCCATTATCACATCGTACGGTAGAAAGGAAACATGCTGAGGCTAACAGCACAGCAGAGAGAACGAGCTATTGGTATGCTGGATTTGGGAGCGACGCAGTCCCATGTTGCAAGGTTGATGAACTGTTCAAAGCGAACAATCCTGAGATTGGTGAGCCGTTACAGACGGACGGGTGTCACGTCTGACAGGCCTAGAAGTGGACGTCCGAGGGTCACGACCCCCCAGGAAGACCGTTATTTACGACTGCTTCACTTGAGGAACCGCTTCGTAACTGTGACGTCATCCGCCCGAACTGCTCTTGGCCATCCAGTCAGCAGAAGGACCGTTGCCAGACGTCTTCGACACCATGGTATCAGAGCCTATCGACCGCTGAAGGCTATGACGTTGACGCCTGAACATCGTCGTCAAAGACTGAGGTGGGCGAGAACTGTTGAGCGATGGTAGGCAAGAAACTGGTCCAGAGTGCTCTTTACCGATGAAAGCCATTTCCAAGTGTTTAAACCAGACTGTAGACAACGCGTAAACCGAAGGCGGGGAGAACGTACACGACGTTGCTGCGTACAAGAGACCAACCACTATGGTGGTGGAAGCGTGGTGGTCTGGGGAGGGATTTGTGGCGACATGAAGACTGATCTTATTGTGATTCATGGTAAGCTAACAGCTGCACGGTACATCAATGAAGTCTTAAAACCAGTCGTCGTGCCATTCATCCAAAATCACCCACGTACCATGTTCCAACAAGACAACGCCACACCTCATAAGGCACGCATCAGTATGGACTTTCTTAATGCCCAGAATGTGCCGTTACTTCCTTGGCCAGCTCGATCTCCCGACTTGTCCCCGATTGAGCACCTGTTGGACCACCTTGGACGACAAATCAACAAGCGACAGCCACCCATACAGACAAGGGAGGCGTTGGCACAGGCCCTACAGGAAGAATGGCGGAGAATCCCGACACATGTGATCAGACGACTAACATTATCCGCTAGACGTCGTATCCATGCTTGCATACAAGCCAGGGGTGACCACACACGATATTGACTGTATCAATTTGTCTGTCTTCAGTTTAGAGCCGCTTATGATGAAAAAGATGGTGCTCGAATACCGGACAGTCAACTGTCCTTGATTCAATTGTACACTGTGTGATCATTCAAATCTGTAGTTCACACTTTCATCATTCAGAATGTTGTAAGTCCATTATATTTCCAAATATGACTGTTAAATTCTGGAGTAACTGCCGTCCATGAGGGTACATCAAGGTTACCCTGCTTTAAATCTGTAACAACACGTGCAAGGGGTAGCTGGCCAATATCCTGATGTGGTGTGATATTTGGTCCAGGTATTGCACAGAGTGTGGAACATTTTTTTGTCAATTTGCCACCTGTGAAGATCCGGGTTAGAATGGGTCTTAGAAACCCATGCTTGTCATAAGAGACGATTAAGGGGATCATGTGGTCAGGCTCGCTGACTTGGCTGACACGTCATCGTATCACAACTGCGTTGATCGATGCTCATGATGTTGATCACTCGATTGTCTTATTTATACAGACCGCGGTCATACAGCTGGAATGTTGCTGACTGTGGCGTTAAACGAAAACAAAATAAAAAAACAAACCAAACCAAACCATGAACAACGATGAGTTGTCCCCCCAATGATCGGTGATGCCACCCAACAGCATTACTAATCACCGCAACACTGACAACGTTGAGTAATCCCGGAACTGTACAAGGTGTTAATGTGGTATGCTGGTGCAGTAGATGCACCAACCGAATATGGTTGACTTCTTTGAGTGGCATTTTAGAAGATGGGAAGTACAAAACAGACAAACTTTCTGGACACCAATTTCTTTATTACGAGTGTGCGACGTTTCGATATAGATTCTTGTACCGTTGTCAAACAGGAATGGTAACATGACGTTGAGGCAAAGTATATATATATATGTGTATTGTATAAAAGAAAACAAGAGAACAATATAATTAACATAATTGGCTAGGCAATATGCTGATAAAGCCAATGGGTTGACAAAGGGGGCGGCGTGTGTGTGTGTGTGTGTGTGTGTGTGTGCGTGTGCGTGTGCGTGTGCGTGTGTGTGTGTGTGTGTGTGTGTGTGTGTGTGAGAGAATTTGTACACGACATGCAGGGTGGTCACTTACTTTATACATAAAGTTTCGGGCTGGTGTGTCATTCACATTGTACATGCTTCTCCATAAAAAATCTTCATCACCCCCTGGCCATAAATTAGGAACGGTCCTTTGGCTAGTCATGAGAGGTGACCGTAACTCCCATACCTTAACATAGACTTAAGGTAACCTTAGCGCTAAGGTTGTTTTGTACAACGGCACCCTGTATCATAAATTCTAACTATGTAATGTGAATTGCTTGTTTTTGAATAATAATAATAATAATAGTGCCTATTTATAGTGCGCACAAATCCACGTTCGTAAGCATGCTCATGGCGCTACAATTAAAACAATATGTACAGTAAGAGTGAGCTATTTATGAGTCATAGAACTGAATGAAAAGGTGCGTTTTGAGATGGCTTTTAAAGGAGTCCAGAGTAGGTGCGAGCTTCAGGTCAAAGGGTAAAGAGTTCCACAAGTTCCATATGGTGCTATGACGTAGAGGGAAATGTCCGAGTAACTCTCCATTCCTTAAAAATAATGGCGCCGAGGCACATTATTTTTTAGGAATGGAGAGTTACGAGGATATTACCGTACTTAAATTACATTCAAAGTATTGGGAATATTTCTGTTATCAACATTAAATGTCAAAATGACAAAATGAAGGCTTTAATTTGAAAATGGTACACATTGGTGACGTCATTTCATTGTCTGCTCGCTCCATTACTTTTCAGGAATGGAGCGAGCAGATAATGAAATGACGTCACAAATGTAATTTAAATATTTATGTTTGTAAATAATAATGTGATGAATAAATATATATACTGAGTCAAAAAAAGAAACTTCACATTCTTTCTTCAGGGCACTATAAAAGAACAAGAGATGGTAAGATGGTTAAATAGTTATTATTTCATTGCTGAGATCTGTGTGATGTACTCGATACACTGACAGTGCCATAATCAGTTCCATTAGGCTACACCGCCGTTCCAAAACATGGGTATACAGAATGTCAAGTCACAAGAATAAAAATGCGAAATTTCTCAGTTCAATATCGTGTTTGGCCGCCCCGCGCATTCACCACTGCCAAACACCGTCTCCGTCTCCGCATCGACAGACTGATGCTTGTGAACACGTGGTTGGGGATTCTGCGCCATTGCTCTTGCAAGGCAGCGCCAAGTTCCTGCAAATTCTGAGGTTGGTTCCTAAGACCACGAAGCCTTCTCCCAAGTGCATCCCAAACGTGCTCTATTGGATTAAGGTCAGGGGACCTCGATGGCCAGTCCATGACGTTGATTCCAGCGTTTTGAAGGAAATTTCGTGTCAACATCGCGGTATTCGGCCGAGCATTATCATGCTGGAACTGTAGACCTGGGCCATGAGCCGCCATGAAAGGAAGGAGTTCAGGGGTGAGCACCTGGTCGCGGTAAGCAGCAGCTGTGAGGTTTCCACGGATGACCAGAAGTCGGGAACGGTTGTTCCCACAGAAAGCACCCCACACCATGCAACTTCCGCCCCCGAATCTGTCGACTTCCTGTACACAACATTGGGCATACCGTTCACGACCGTCTCAAGACTCTATGCCTGCCATCCGCGAATCTGAGGGTAAACCTGGATTCATCGCTAAAGACGACTCGATTCCAGTCTCTCTGGGTCCATCGGAGGTGACGTTGGGCCCACAGCAGACGTTGACGTTGATGAAACGGCGTCAATATTGGCCCACGATATGGACGTCGAGAATGGAGATTGGCAGCCCGCAACCGATTTCGAATGGTCTGTGAGGACAGTCGACCTCTAAACATCTCAGCCCTGGTTCGTGTAGCCGGCAGAAATCTGTCACGTAGGTGACGTAGGACGATTTGACGGTCTTCTGCTCGTGACGTCACACGTGGACGACCCGACCTTGGGCGATCAGAAGTGGTGCCAGTTTGTTGTAGACGACCTCGCAAGTCATACACAGTACGACGGCTGCATCCCATTGCTCTTGCGACGTCAATAACTGATCTTCCCGCTTGCAACATGCCAACGGCAGGTTCACGTTGCACATTTGACAATCGTGGCATTTCAAGTACCGTTAGAACTTTGGTTTAAAAGTGTTTTTTTCAATTCTTGAGGCCAATGCAAACACGTGCATATGAAGAAAACTTCGATGCGAAGATCACGTGATCGACTGCACGTGCAAAACCTGATTTTGCACTAACGTCATTTGCACGACGAATGGATGGGTTTGAGTGGGTTTTGCTAACGTTTATCTGGAGTCGAAAGATAGGGATCCCATTTCGGATACATAGATGTAGAGAAAAAGTATTCATTATTTTTCAAATTACATTTTGTGAAGTTTCTTTTTTGACTCAGTATATTTTCAAGAAACTCATTTGAACTTTGAGCTTAAACTGTGTGTGTATGCAGACTTAGTCTCGTCGCTATATGGCTGGAATAATGCCGATGTGACGTAAAACTCATAACTGGAAGATGCGTCATTATACTGAGGGAGAGGGAACTTATTCTCCCTCTTCAGTTTCTTCAAGTTATCAATGGTTTCCGTCCTCAATAGAGACGCCAAGGGAGAGTATAACGCATGTGAGCCCAAATCGATGACAACCACCGTATTCTGAAGTCCGATCTGGTCCTCGGTCGCATGTATACCGTGCTAGTCGAACAAAATTCAAGGTATAAGTGAGGAGAAATTGGGTTTAACGTCGTGCTTGAGAATATTTCGCTCATATGACGACGTGCATGCGTGTGTATGTGAATGCGCGGCTGCTTGTACTAGCCCAGACTGAAGCTGGTTTTATAGTGCTTGCCCACTGAGATACCATGCCAGTGGCGGATGCCAGTTCGACCACACACACACACTTGAAAATGACTTAAGATCACATTGAAGGTTGGGTTTTTTTTTTGCGTTGGCGGAGCCCTCCTTTCAAAATTCCTGGATCCGCCCATGCATGCCGCAGTGAAGCATGAATACCCCACTCAGACACATTATACTGACTCCGAGCCGACCAGTCCTTGTTGTACCCATTAATGCCGAGTGCCAGGCAGGGACCAACAAGTATCATATTTTAACGTCTTTTGGTATGACGCGGTCGGGGATCGAACCCACGACCTTCCGCTCTCCGGGCGTACGCTCTAACCACTACACCACGGAGGCGGTCTCAAGGTATAAGTGACCTCACATATGCTCTTAGACCCCAAAACATAGATCTTTCTCGGGCACGTGCGGTGGAGTACGTTAGGTAATCACTTGGCTGTGGATCATGCATGACCCTCAACCCCCCAATCGATCTGTTCCCTTCATGATCTCTTCGCCAGGGAGTGCTTCTAAGTCGGTCTGACTGATTAATCCAGCAATTTCAGTCAGGTCAAACCGCTTGTCAAACATGCCCTGGTCTGCTTCTTGTTCATTCTAGTGAAATAGTCGGAAGACCGGATCTCCCTGTGCTCCTCTTGCACGAGGAACGATTGGGTACGGATCTCAACCAATATCGCGGACACTGAGACCTCAGTCCTTCTTCCAAATCTTCCGGTCCCCCTCGTGGACTCTCGCTGGGGAACGTACTTCCCGGAGTCGTGATCTTGGTGAAAGAGACAAGCACTGAGGAAATTTGGTATCCCATGTGCATCTCCCCTAGTCTGCACTCGCAACAATGCGTGTGGGTTCATGAATATCTCGAGGAGACAACATTTGAAACGATGTTCATTTGTCAGTAGTGCCATGACGATCCCATAAATCCCATTACCAATCCATCCAATTCAAGTTCCGGCTTTTCGTATACACGAGCCTTGACAGGACCACTTGCGCAACTGATAGTAGATAGTTACCAATGAAGACGACTATGTTGAAAATTTGATAAGTATTTATAGCAATGGTGCCATAAAGGTATGATATTTACAAGAATCATGTGGTTCGTGTCACGTTCTTCCTTTCAATTTAGACTTGGAAGCTGATCGTTGCTAATTGGTTTTCTCATATTTTGAAAAGAATTCAACAGGTTCCAGAGACCCACAGTAGAAACATCACCTTGAGATCGGCTGAGAAGAGTCAATATATTTTCTTCAAGCACTGCTCCAAGCAAACCCTGTATATGCATATTTTCGAACAAGGAAACAAATATTTATTTCTTCATACTTGATTTTTATTTTCAAGTTAAACATGTACAAGGATGCCTTTGCAACTATCATTCGAACGTAGCTATGGCAACCACTTTTGAAAACAAAAATCAACATGGTTCAATAATTACAAAGCAGACAAGTCCTGGAGAGTTTTCAATAGGTGAACCTGAATATTCAGACAAAGAGAAACTAAAATTTGAAGCACCGTGCTTCGTCATGTACTGTATTCCCAAGGCCTGAATAATTCAGGCTATGTTAAGGTGAACCTAAGGTATTTCTTGCATATACACAACAACATGGGCTCATCCAGGCTTGGCTGTGTCTTAAACAGCCTCAATTGCAAGGGGAATCTTCATGTTGACTTGGGATAACCCTCTACTGCCAGCAACCCATCTGCCATTAACCCTTGCAGTTTCAACTGGTCTGAGATAGGGCCAGTTCCGTCATAACACAGCATCATATTCAAATATTTTTACCTTGTGTGGTCGATCAATTGATCTTTAATGCAACCATTTGATTAACCTGAAGGATAACATTAGTTTGTCACTGGACAAATACATAATATATATTGTCAATAATTATGACTGCAGTTATGTTATACAGACTTGGGATTGCACAATATTGTGGATCGGACATGAAACATGGGATATTATTTTTACTCGCATGACCAATCTAGGGCAAGTTTTCACGAAGAGGTTAATGAGAAAACGGGTCCATTAACAGCATTTTAAATAAATCTTTGAATATATTCACTCAGCAAGTCAACAATAGATTCCCCTGGCACATGAATCGCAATAGCATCATAATACACATTGGACCATTTCAATGTATTTCTTTTAAATAAAATATTAAGGCAGTGAGTTTTCAACTTTTTCTGCATAACAATTCAGTATAAAAGATTAACTGTTTAGAACAGCTCACGAAATACACAAAATTGGTAGCATTTATTTTTACAAGTTTAAAACTATATATGCTTTGAGCTGGTGCCCTCCCCCAAAAAGACCCCCAATGTTTGAGAATATGCCTCTGGTGTTTAGACCGTGCTTGGACACTTGTGGCAGCAAGCTGCTTCTACTTCTGTCTGTGCCATATTGGAGCTTCAGCCAAAGCCTCACAGAGATCTCACACAAACTAAGCATTATACGGCTTATCACATGCCATTATTTCTTATATCTGTTGATGTTTGGAAGACTAATTTCTATATATTCCCTAAAATGTCAAATACAAATTTTTCTAAAGAAAGTGAAAAAACACCACTTTTTCGATAACAATTTCAGTGCTAAAGCTTGAAAATCATGCACAACTTCAGATATGTTCAATTGCTGTTCGTAATGTTTGGAAACAATCCTTTCAAGCTTATTCGAAGATAAAATGATTAATAAATTTTAACAAAGTTAGGTTTGGCTGGGAACTCAACATAATGACACAGTAGCAGCTGTTCTGGCTAGGCAAGCGTCTCATTTCAGAAATGATCCAATGGCAATCACCAGAAGAGGTCAAATTGAATCACTATCAGTATAATGGACTTGTTAAAACATGTTATGCATAACAGGGTAGCCAATCTCAAAATAAGGTGAGACTAGCCAAAATAACCTATCCTTAATTATCTTGCTGGCATCTACCTGGGACAAAGCTCCCATATCTTAATCTCATTTCTCTTGTAAAATAATTTGTTTGAGAAAATGATATATATTTACATCAACCTGATATGAACTCGCCTTGTTGAAAATACTTGCATGACCAAATTGATATGCTTTAAATAGTGAAAAAACTGTAAACATAATCCTTGTTCACCGGAGAGAGGATTTGCTAGAGACAATTATTCATTCATCTGAATTCCTTATATTAGTTTACTTTTTTCCCATTTAACACTGCACTCTACAATATTTTAGCTATTTGACAGCTGTCTGAAAATCAACCCAATCTGGAGGCGACAATCCGATGGTTGATATGGTGAGCAACGACGAACACCACTGGAGTAGGATGTGTAATCCGCCAAGTCACCGAGCCTGAACAGCCAATCCACTTGGTCTTCCATTTCAAGAATAAACAGAATCCAAGGAAACTATTACCACAGGAGTCATTTAGAAAAAACCTAAATCAATTAAAGCTCATCAATTTGGTCATGTCAACTATTTCACAAAACATTGGCAAAATATTGAATAAAAACTAAATGTGTAAATATCCTGGTCTTTTGGCGTGACAGATATCTTAAGTACATTTACACAATCATTTTGATCTTTTTCATAAAATATTGATTCAGTTTTACTGAAACTTCCCTTAACATGCCAGCCCTGATGTTAAGGATAGGTCTCATACTACCTGGCATATATTATGAAAGAGGACAAGTGACACAACAGCACACAATGTACAAGGCATATTCACAACGTGAAAATAAGACTTTGTGTACAGAACATGCCATATTCTACCCTTCAAATTGTGTCCTCTGACGTATTTCTGGACAACTCATGGTATTCATTGTTCCCATCATATTTACACTGGAAAGTGACTCAACAAATCTTGTCATATAACAATTTTCAAAAACGCACCTTTCCTATTGCTCATTTTCACTGTGTAATACGGTCAATATCACTCGCTTTGTAATGCGGTCATTTATCACCTTGTAAATAGAGGCCAGGGATTTATCTAGACCTGCGTAAAGGTCAATATTCAGCCCCAGGTCTGAAGCAATTGTCAGTTAAAAAAATCCCAAACAGGAACAAAATATTGCCATGTTACACTGTTATATTACCAAGTATAATAATAACTATAGTTTTATTTTTTTATTTAACAGAGGTCCCTTGCAACTGTCGACAGAACCAATACCACTTTTGCACTGAATGAAATACTAAATATCCCTGAATATTTCAGAATAAAGGACTTTGAAAGTCCTATTTTCGAACAAACACGTCTTTTTCCCTTTTGGGAGTCAGTTTGAAATCCTAGACAAATCCCTGGACCAAGTGAAGAGATACACTAATGATGTAATAATATTTCTTTATGCATTAGCTGAATAAGCTCCCTGTCAGACTAAAGACAGCAAATCTACTATATGTTCTCATAACTCAAGGTTATTTTTTCATCTTACAGTTAACACGTCCAAACAACCCTGAAAAAGTGTGTGGTATTCATATTTGATATTGCAAGATCCCACAACTTAAAGAATACTTTGTTTATAGTATGGTTTGAACCATACAAAACCCAAGGAGCACTTACATGTTTTTAGGTTGTGACCATATGATTAACATCTAAACACTCTACATCCTTTTAAAATAATATTCTAAAAGAAAAGAAATTTTCTTTAAAATAAATCCTCATGTCCATAGGAGTGAAAGGATCAATACATCTACTCGATTAAGTATGCAGAAATATGATTATCAATTGACTAATATCAGCAAAGCATAATGAAAGCCTCAGTTGAATTTTCTGCATACATATGAACAAATATATGATCAAAAGATACATTTGGAATTTGCTTTTCCTTTTAATGTCTAAACATGTCTGCTGTATCTGTAAAAGTGTCAGAAGGAAATTTATTTCACTTTGGACAAAAAACCCAATACAGTTGTTTTACCATCTTCACTGTGACAGTTTGCTATCTGGTTGATCAAACTGCCATTAGGGACAAGGGGACAGGCCATTTTAAGGGGAAACCCTCCACTAAACAGCATAGCCTCACTCTGTGCTGTGTCATTATCATAAATCAGCACTCAGATCCAGTTATATTTATCTGTCAAATCATCTTAGTTGTACTAAAACCACAGAACAGTGCCATACTGTTACTTCTTACTAGCCCAGTCTTGTCATAGAAAAATTGTAGATATCATTCTTTAATAAAAGCGAATGATTATCTGCCATGCTTGGTCAACAAGACCGTAACACTGACAACTGTAGACATTTCCACCAAATGTGAAACAAATTAAGTGGACTTCTTATGAAGATTAAATAAAAAGATAATAATTAACCTACCATCTGCCTCACACTTGCATGTGGTACTTACTATCCTGTTAGTAAATGAGGGTTTGCCCTACCCATTACTAAGGCTCAGATTGTCTTCATCCTGTGACCCTGCTTTCTGTTCCATCTTCAGAAGCATATCACAGCATCTTCGTCTTTACATTATCACTGAGTGCACAAATGCTTTTTCATTAGAGGACCTTTACACTTTTCCACCCAAAAAGACATTTCAATTAAACAGCAGTTAAGATTTACTCCACCAATCTTTTTCAAAAACCAAAAGTGTTTCTATTAAGTGGGTAACAGCCTATTCTGGTCTTTGGTTTTCATCCAAATAAAAATCAACAACTACACCCCTAAAAACAAACATGATTTAATATTTTACAATTAACAGAAACCACTTTACAAAACAACATAAGAGGTGCTTATTTTTATTCATATATCAAACTAATTCTCCAAAAATCTCAGCTGTCCAAAACCATAGTTGACAAATCGCTGCAAACAAAATAGCTTTTTGTGTGTAATGGAAGCCCTCAATAGCTTGAAATGCAGGTCAAACTACCTTTCCACTTAGCTTGATTTTAACCATGTAGCCGTTGGTATCAACAAAACTGGAATGATATGTCCTTGTCAAATAATGTGGAAACCTGACAGAAAAACAACATCAAGTAATTAAATACAAGTAATTTGGTAGAAAAATTAATGAACTTTAACACTTCCAATTTAGAAAAGTCCTAAGGCACAATGCAATTTCATAAGTTAATACTTTGTTACATATGGGCATCACTGAAAAACAAAATATCCAGACTATGAACTAAATAAAAGACACAGTAGAAATGTAACAAGACACACCTACAAAGATAGAGACAATACCTAGAGTATGTTTAAATACATGTTAAATAAACAACAGATCAAATCAGTTGATTAAAATTTGATTCCAGTAGGATTCACCTTCTCCTGTTACAAACTGTCCTCAAACGTGCAGTGGAAGCATCGTCATGACGACATCAGCAACTGTGGACATACTTTAAAACATAGGCTCAGTGCACTGAGGCAGAACTACAAGAAGAAAGCGTGTCGCTTCAAGAAATATCTTATAACCTAACACAGGCTCCGACAATTCAGTCATAGAATATGCTTCTCGTTTGTCTTGCATACCATCGACAGTTTCCACACTGCAGTGAAAAGGTTCCAACACTGAGATACAATAGCATTGAGCAAAATTATCCATGGTTGTCAATTACTGCCAAAATGTCTCCAAACTTAATTGGCACACTACAAGGTCCTTCAGTTCAGGGTTGACAAGCTAAGCCTGGTGGAAGCTTGTTACATCTGGTGAATGTGTATGTTAGGTAGGCAGTCTTAGGTTGTATTCAAATATTCTCTAGGAATCATTATCAGTGATCAACTTAATATTTTCATCTCAAGTCCAGGATGAATATTTAAGCAGCTCCTTCATTGCCGTAGTCTGTAGGGACCACAAACAATTTCTTGTCATGCACGTAATTCATGCCTCGAAAATATCTCCCCCGTGAAATCATTTTTCTTTCACTCATATTTCTAAGGGAATTCAAATAGATTAAGAGTTTCCATCGGAGTCACCAGATTCCAGATGGGCTCATTGGAATTTCCGGGCACATATGCCTACACATCTTTGACCTCATTCCCGCACTGGCGACTTAATCTTCGGGTGTTGATGTGATGGAAACGGAACATTTCTTCATCCACATCACTTACACTGGGTCAAGCAAGTTCTCGAATGCCAGGGTGAAACGTTTGTCTGCTGGCAATGATCTCCAACTTGGAACAGCCGTGGCACAGATGGCTCCACAACTTCTAATATGGCAACAATTTAATTAGTGTCCTCAGCTGTGGTCAAAACTTGAATCCTTCCGATGGAATCTGGGCATTAGGGTCGAACTGGTATCCTTCATTTGATGCTTGTGGGAGTAAAGCCTCCTCTTCGATCTATAACAGATACAGTAATGTAAGACCGTACAGAAATTAATGTCATACTTTCAGATTAAATATTATACCTTGATTAAATTCAAGGAACATCAGTTCGTAAAAGAAACTGCCTTGAGTCAGCATCACAAAGATGTTTGTTTGTTGTTTAACGCCGCATTCAGCAATATTCAAGCTATATGGCAGTTGGAAGATGTAAAACTGGGGTGATTGTGAATGTTGTTTATCGATGTAATCCGTTATTATCCAGCTGGACACACCAAACACCTGTACATGTCAGCTGGACACACCTGTGGCTAAGAGAGCTGGACTCATCTGTGGCTGAGAAGGTTGGTTTGTTGTTTAACACTGAAAGCAGCAATATTCCACCTCTATGGCAGTGGTCTGTAACTAATTGAGTCTGAACCTGACAATCCAGTGATCAACAGCTTGAGCATTGATCTACGCAATTGGGATACGATGACATGTGTTAAGAACGTCAGAGAGACTGACCAACCAATCCTGTTAGTTGCCTCTTACAACAAGCATGGGTTACAGAAGACCAATAGTAAGCCAGATCTTCACAGGTCTGTCTGAGAAGGCCAGACACATTTGTGAATCCACCTGTGATTGAGACCATGGCTTAAAATCCATACTCTTGGGGTATAGTCAGTTCAAACAGTGTGACCCTTGGTTCTCAAACTCGTGAGAGTGAGTGAGTGAGTGAGTGAGTTTAGTTTTACGCCGCACTCAGCAATATTCTAGCTATATGGCGGCGGACTGTAAATAATCGAGTCTGGACCAGACGATCCAGTGATCAACAGCATGAGCATCGATCTGCGCAATTGGGAACCGGTGACATATGTCAACCAAGTCAGCGAGCATGACCACCCGATCCCGTTAGTCGCCTCTTACAGCAAGCATGGGTTACTGAAGGCACATTCTAACCCGGACCTTCACGGGTCCAAACTTGTGAGAGAATGGACCATACTGATCCATATTCTGTAATAACACCTGGAAGGATCTCTTGTCTGAGGATGAGTATTGCTGTAACTGAGCATTCAGAGAAGTACAATAGGCTAGACCATGCCATGACACAATTATCAAATCAGCTTTATTTGCCAAGTTGCAGAACTTAGCAAAGTAACAGCCAGATCAGTTTGAAAACAATCATGCCTGGACCAGACAATCTAGTGTTTTGCATTACGAGCAATGACCCACACTCACAAGGGTGCAATGACACATCCCAAAGCATCCCAATCCATACTTTTGCTTCTTGGAATCTGGCAAACCCTGAACACATCCAAAATGTATACTTACATCACCAGAAAAGTAGTGATCAATAATTTCATAGGCAAGTTTGTAAATTTCTTCATTTTCGTGATTCTGTAGACTTTCAATTTTGTCTAAGCCTGAAACATAAACATTCTTGATTAACTTTCCTGGATCACACACAACACAGTAAACAAATACTGAAATATTTCCAACAGAACTTAAAGCATTCTTTACAAATCTCATCACAAGCTGCTGCAGTTTTCTCATCGGGCCCCAATTTCTCGAAACAAACTTAAGTCTGAGTTTTGACTTAAGTTAGAGTTTTTACTCAAATTTGAGAAAACGCATTTCCCAGAATGAAATAAAACCGATATTAAACTCAAACATAGTAGACAATTTGTGTTTGGTGAATAGAATAATTAAGTTGTTTGGGCTTTCATATTTAGAAAATGCAGCTGAGATTAAAATCCAGCTGTTTCAAACTCAGTTTGAATTGAGTAAAAACTTAAGTATGTTTCGAGAAATCGGGGCCAGGTCTTTTCTTCCTAATCAACACAAACATTACAGAATTTCACAAAACAGCAAATTACAGAAATATTACCCACATCTTGCCACGTCCCATGTCAAGGGAACCAGTTAGTAATTGCCAATCTATTTTCAAATCTAATACAAACTGTATCATCTTTTAATCGCTATCAAAAAGGGAGATCACTCTGAATCCACCAAGTGTCTTTACCACCACATTCTTCTATCATCTGGTTGATTGATTCCAGGTCATCGCCTGCCATCTTCAGGATGTTGTTGATACCATCAAGGACAACATTGACAACTTGTGTGTCCTTGACCCCAAGAAGATTACAGAAGGGTGGTATAACGCCTTGTTGTACTACATATGATACCTGACAACAAAGAAACATCAGTGTCAAAACAAGCAAACCATGCATGAAATACAACCTGGGTGCAATTGTACAACGGCATCCTGAGTAACACAAGAGTCATCAGAAGATGACATATCCCCACAGCCCCCACATATTTGAAAGAACAAATCATCTGACAGTTACTTAAAGTACAGCTTGATGTCTTTTTTGACTAAGTCCAAATCGTTTCCATGGAAATCATAAAAAATATAAATGCCAAAAATCTGCAAATAGCAAAAGGCACCACTCACATATCTGCCAAGTTTTGCTGAAAGATATTAAGAAGTTTTCGAGTCCAAATCGTTTCCATGGAAACCGGGAAAACAAAAATGACAAAAATCTGCTAATAGCAAAAGGCACCACTTAAGGTTCTGTTTGATATATCTACCAAGTTTTGTTGGAAAATATTGAACGTTTTTTGAGTTATGCTCGGAAACAAAACCCACCCTCCCACCCACTTTAAGACTAAGTCCAAAACGTTTCCAGGAAAACCGAGAAAAATGAAAATGGCAAAAATCTGTAAATAGCAAAAGGCACCACCTTAGGTTCTGTTTGATATACAGTGGAAACCTGATAAGTAAAATTTCAAGGGACTCGCCAAAATTGTTAACTTATCAGGTATTTTATTTATCCAAACTATAAAAACCTGCAAATGACAACCATATGCATGGATATATAGAGAATACTACGAGGTCTCATTACATACATTATCCCGAAAAGAGTGTCCTTCCTGTGGTATCTGACCGGCGGCGAGGTCAGATAACATATAGGAAGACCACGAGTTCGTATAATAATAATGTGCTCGTATGTAATGAGACCGAGTGTATGTTATTATTACCCACGTCTTACATGCATTAAACTGACAAAATAGCGTATTTCTGTTAATATTTTTGGTTTCAAGCGAAACCGGTTTCATAAAGGGGTTATTGGGAAGAGTTTTGTACTGTAGTACAATATTTGCATGGCGTCACACCAAAATGGCGTCACTGCCTTGGTAACCGGCGTCACTTAAGGTTCTGTTTGATATATCTACGATGCATGTCAGTTGTCATCGCCTCGTACAGCCTCCTATAGTAAACTACTCCGTAGCACCCGTTTCTTGGTTTGCAGTTGCTTCATTCGGCTAACATCACTGGTGGAAACATTGCGTTCACGTTTTTATTGACCGGGTATAATGTCTCAGTTCGGCTCACAATTAAACAGCAACACGGCAACGTTCTCGATGCTTACATTCCCACAATGCATTTAAGTTGTAGAATGAATGAATTCACGTGTTTGTTATGAATGAAAATATAGTTACGTCAGAATGTGACCTAATTGAGAGGTCATCGGTTATCCAATCAAATCGTTAGAATCTGAGGTCAAGTCGTTACGACACAGGTCAACGCGATACGACACACGTGTGACGTACGAGATTAGTATGCAACTACCAATACGTTGACCACGTGGGTAATAAGTTTGCATATGTAACAATGAACAACTTATCAGGGCTGGCCTCCAGTTGTCAGTGTATTGTCAACTGCATGACGCCAGCGAGCTGTAAGTAGGATGTTTGTTTGACTAGAGACTGACACGACTGCCCCTCATGTCGGATTATGTGGTGATCGCTAATTTAGTTATCCAGTCTCTTTTGTTAAGTAATTTACTTCCAGGGACCGTGAGAAGACGTTTAGTTAAGCAGTATTGTTTACTTATCCGAGTTTAGTTAACCAGACTCTAATAGTGATAATTAATGAAGGAATTTGCCGGGACCAAAGAAAAGTGGTTACTTATCAGGTCTGTTTCGTTAAGCGGTCTTTACTTAGGCAGTTTCCACTGTATCTACCAATTTTTGTTGAAAAATATTGAACAGTTTTTGAGTTATGCTGCGAAAAAAAAATGCTTATGGACGGACAGACGAGCCGTCAACTAAAAAGGTAATCATTCCAAATCAAATCTTGATGTCAAATGTTCATATGAACACCAATCCTAGATAAGAACTGAGAATAAATTTACATGATTAAAGTTTCAAGAGGTTTCATAAACACCACATGGACAACAGAACACAATGAGTACATGACTCCCTAACTTTCAAAGACAAATTCCAGCCATGGACCTGATAATCTATGCAATCTGCATGCATCAACAAGCTTGGCGAGTCTGATCCAGTTGCCTCTTTTGCCAAGCAGGGTATGCTGAAGAACTCACCTGTTCTTTCCTACCACTTATTGTTAAATTGCTTATTGCCCATGCTGCTTCCTTTTGAGTTTGAAATTCACCCTGAAATAAAAGCATGCAAACAAGTTAATTCCTTTCTGGTTACAGAACATAATTTACAAATTTCCTTAATTTTCTGATTCCTTTATATTTTGGACAAAAGTGATTTTGACACAGTCTGGGATTCATACCAGTAAACAGACCAGACCAAAATGAATTTTGTTCACAGGTGAAGAAATGTTGACGTTCCATTCAGGTAAAAAAACAACTTCATCTTCCATTAGATACCTGCCTGAATGTGACCTGGGTCCTTATTCTCGAAAAGTTCGTAGCCCTAAGAATTCTTAACTTTGATCGTAGCCAATGTGTTAAGAATGGGCTTAAGAAGTTTGTAGGGCTACAAACGTTTCGAGAATAGCTCGCCTGATTAGACAATGCCCTCTGGTATACTGACACTTACAACCAAGCCTATGGTTCTTCATATTAGAAACACAAAACCTTCAGTAACATGACCCAATAATAATCACACAAATTTAACATTGGTAATATTTTCAAAAGTGCACACTTTGTTGGTACAATGTGACAGAGTTAAGCTTAATGCTGCTAAGAACAGTATTTCAGCAGTATGTAAGATTCACTTAATTGTAATACTTGAGGCCAATATGGTTTAAATCAAAACCACTCAGCCCAGTGAACACACTGAGCTATTCATGTTAAATCTGAGATTCAAACCCATAATCATGGAATAATGGTATGACTCAGGTGCTAACTGAGCAGTAGGAGCCCAGGGGGACATCCAACATCTCTTACCCTGTTTAAATGGTGGATAATGAGGGGTATGAGCCCTGCGTCTATCACCGCCTGCACCTGCTGCTGGTTTCCTGCTGTGATATTTGACAAGAACCACACAGCTTCCTGCAACACAGACAAAATGTGTTTAGACAACTAAATACAAACACAGACGAAACATCACATCCTTACAGAATGTTCAAGAACCAGTTTTTTTCAGATTCTATAGTATTTCCTGATAGGCTATAAATAACAGAATCTGCACAGTGCCCAACTGTACGTTTCTCGTCGAAAATATTTTTGCTATCTGACTTCTGAAAACAAATCATGCAGGGTTGTAAATAACCTGAGATTATGAACTCATGAAACAAGAGTCATCAGAAGATGACATATCCCCCCGGCCCCCATATCTTTGAAAGAACAAATCATCTGACAGTTACTTAAAGTCCAGCTTGATTTTAGACTAAGTGCAAATCGTTTCCATGGAAATCATGGAAAAAATAAATGACAAAAATCTGCAAATAGCAAAAGGCACCACTTTGGGATCTGCCTCACATATCTGCCAAGTTTTGCTGAAAGATATTAAGAAGTTTTCGGGTTGTGCTCCGGAAACAAAACCTACCCCTCCCTTTTGAGACTAAGTCCAAATTGTTTTCATGGAAACTGAGAAAATAATAAATGACAAATATCTGCAAATAGCAAAGGCACCACTTTGGCATCTGCCTGACATATCTGCCAAGTTTTGCTGAAAGATATTAAGAAGTTTTCCAGTTGTGTTCGGAAACGAAACCCATCCCTTCCTTTTGAGACTAAGTCGAATCATTTCCATGGAAACCGAGAAAGTAATAAATCACAAATATCTGCAAATAGCAAAGGCACCACTTCAAGATCTGCCTCACATATCTGCCAAGTTTTGCTGAAAGATATAGAGAGGTTTTGAGTTGTGCTCCGGAAACGAAGCCTACCCTCACTTTTGGGATTAAGTCCGAATCGTTTCCATGGAAACCGGAAAAATAAAATACCAAAATCTGTAAATAGCAAAAGGCACAACTTTAGGATCTGTTTGATATATCTACCAAGTTTTGTTGAAAAATATTATACGGTTTTTGAGTTGTGCTCCGGAAACGAAAGCAATCCTTACTTTTTGAGACTAAGTCCAAAATGTTTCCATGGAAACCGGGAAAAATAAAAATGACAAAAATCTGCAAATAGCAAAAGGCACCACTTAAGGTTCTGTTTCATACATCTACCAAGTTTTGTTGAAAAATATTGAGCGGTTCTTGAGTTATGCTCGGAAACGAAGCCCACCCCTCACTTTTTGATTAAGTCCGAATCGTTTCCATGGAAACCGGGAAAAATAAAATACCAAAAATCTGCAAATAGCAAAAGGCACCACTTAAGGTTCTGTTTGATATATCTACCAAGTCTTGTTGAAAAATATTGAACGGTTCTTGAGTTATGCTCCGGAAACGAAGCCCACCCCTCACTTTTGGGATTAAGTCCGAATCATTTCCATGGAAACCGGGAAAAATAAAAATGCCAAAAATCTGTAAATAGCAAAAGGCACAACTTTAGGATCTGTTTGATATATCTACCAAGTTTTGTTGAAAAATGTTATACGGTTTTTGAGTTGTGCTCCGGAAACGAAAGCAATCCTTACTTTTTGAGACTAAGTCCAAAATGTTTCCATGGAAACCAAGAAAAATAAAAATGACAAAAATCTGCAAATAGCAAAAGGCACCACTTAAGGTTCTGTTTCATACATCTACCAAGTTTTTGTTGAAAAATATTGAACGGTTCTTGAGTTATGCTCCGGAAACGAAGCCCACCCCTCACTTTTGGGATTAAGTCCGAATCGTTTCCATGGAAACCGGGAAAAATAAAAATACCAAAAATCTGCAAATAGCAAAAGGCACCACTTAAGGTTCTGTTTGATATATCTACCAAGTCTTGTTGAAAAATATTGAACGGTTCTTGAGTTATGCTCGGAAAGCGAAGCCCACCCCTCACTTTTGGGATTAAGTCGAATCATTTCCATGGAAACCGGAAAAATAAAAATGCCAAAAATCTGTAAATAGCAAAAGGCACAACTTTAGGATCTGTTTGATATATCTACCAAGTTTTGTTGAAAAATATTATACGGTTTTGAGTTGTGCTCGAAGCGAAAGCAATCCTTACTTTTGAGACTAAGTCCAAAATGTTTCCATGGAAACCAAGAAAAATAAAATGCCAAAATCTGCAAATAGCAAAAGGCACAACTTTAGGATCTGTTTGATATATCTATCCAGTTTTGTTGAAAAATATTGAATGGTTCTTGAGTTATGCTCCGGAAAGCGAAAGCAATCCTTACTTTTGAGACTAAGTCCAAAATGTTTCCATGGAAACGGGAAAAATAAAATGACAAAATCTGCAAATACCAAAAGGCACCCCTCATGGTTCTGTTTGATATATCTACCAACTTTTGTTGAAAAATATTGAACGGTTCTTGAGTTATGCTCGAAACGAAGCCCACCCCTCACTTTTGGGACTAAGTCCAATTGTTTCCATGGAAACCGGAAAAATAAAAATGCCAAAAATCTGTAAATAGCAAAAGGCACCACTTTAGGATCTGTTTGATATATCTACCAAGTTTTGTTGAAAAATATTGAATGGTTCTTGAGTTATGCTCCGGAAACGAAGCCCACCCTTCTTTAAGACTAAGTCCAAAACGTTTCCATGGAAACCGAGAAAAATAAAAATGACAATTATCTGTAAATAGCAAAAGGCACCACCTTAGGTTATGTTTGACATATCTACCAATTTTGGTTAAAAAATATCAAACGGTCTTTGAGTTATGGTCCGGAAACAAAATGATTACGGACGGACGGACGGACGGACGGGCGAGACGGACGGACGGACGGACGACGGACGGACGGACGGACAGACGGACTAGGCGATGACTATATCCCACCGCATTATATGCCGGTGGGATAAAAAGGTACTGTATCACAGCCTCACTGTAATGTTACACTTCCTGCAACCCATAGTGTTTAACTATGTACCACTACCAGCTCAGTTTAAGGGATCTGTTTGTGACCTCTTACCTTGTTTATTTTTTCTTTCGGATGTGACAAAAGTGAAGGAAAGTGTGTCAGTGCGTCACAATTTAGCACCACCTGTGTCTGTTCATCTGTGCCGGTGACGATGTTACCCACAGCCCTCAATGCTGCAGTCTGTCAACATAAAACATCACTGTCACACTTCTTGCTCACCAGTCACCAATATTATGACTAGGTAAGACAAGAGTCATCAGAAGATGACATATCCCCCCGGCCCCCACATCTTTGAAAGAACAAATCATCTGACAGTTACTTAAAGTCCAGCTTGATTTTAGACTAAGTGCAAATCGTTTCCATGGAAATCATGAAAAAAATAAATGACAAAAATCTGCAAATAGCAAAAGGCACCACTTCAAGATCTGCCTCACATATCTGCCAAGTTTTGCTGAAAGATATAGAGAGGTTTTTGAGTTGTGCTCCGGAAACGAAGCCCACCCCTCACTTTTGGGATTAAGTCCGAATCGTTTCCATGGAAACCGGGAAAAATAAAAATGACAATAATCTGTAAATAGCAAAAGGCACCACCTTAGGTTATGTTTGACATATCTACCAATTTTGGTTGAAAAATATCGAACGGTCTTTGAGTTATGCTCCGGAAACAAAATGATTACAGACGGACGGACAGACGGACGAGGCGACGACTATATCCCACCGCATTACATGCCGGTGGGATAAAAATTAGCACTAGCCAGATATCCTTTTTGGGCAACAATATTCTAAGGGCTAGCAGAGTTTCAAACATTTTATGCTGTATGTAACACAAACACTAGCAGCTGTTCCAGTTAAATTACATCCCTGCGATACACTCTCAGACTAATAATACCCAGATTTCCCATTTGCTCAGTTTTAACACATGTCTCACCTGAACTTTAACATCCTGATGGCTAAGCAGTGGTACAAGGAAAGGAACCACTCCAGAGTCTATAACCATCTGTATCTGGTCATTGCCCCCATCTGTCAAATATGACAATGCCCATACTGTGTCAACCAGAATCTGAAACAAACAGGAAATAAGAAAAAGTTCAACAATAAGAGCTGAACCTCGAAATTCTCATTTATTGGTTTTCACTAACTGACAAAGTGGTACTGTCCAATAACACTTTCAACATTGCCCTCTTTTAGCCCTCTAAAGGCAGATTCAAACTGCATGTTATCTTGAGGTTCTCGGGTAAGTGACTCATATTCTTAAACCAATATATGTTACAGTAAAATCTTTGAACAAACGAAACATGAAGCTGCCTACCCAAGAAACATCAAATGTTCAGAAAAGCATAAATACCTGTACAATATTTATTGACCTTACAATTCTTTTTGTCTGGATGTTTCTATGGTGATCAAAATGTTACTTCATTGTGGAAATTCTTGAAACATTCTCAAAAGAAATATTCAGAGAAACCTGTGCCAAACAGTGTCTACAATTAAAAGCCCAAACATGAGTCTTTGAATCATTTTTAGTAGATCTGAGTGTCATTGTATGGAACATTAGCTCCACTAACTACGCTCAATAAAAAATTACTGCAGACAATCAATGGTTTCAGGAAAGACCACACAAGTTTTTTTCTGAGGCTGGTGAAGATATCACTATGGGGCTATAAGTTGAGTGTACTTACATTTACGTCTGTATGGTGAATTAGCTGACAGAGAGCAGGGAGAATCTCTTGAATGGTGTCTACAGGTGGTGGTGGTTCCTTGTTTCTACACAAGTTCACTATGACCCAAGCAACGTTACGCAGGAAGGGGAGGGGGATATTTGGATTGATGAACTCGAGAAGAGGGGCGACAGCCCCTAAACTTATCACATAGTCTCTGCACTGGGGACCATCGCCTGAAACAGGACGAGACATGTAAATCATGCTTACTGTGAGAAACAACTTGTTGTGATAAACAATAATTCAATAACAGGATTGTGTTGCTCTGTTTGTTTAAACAAACTACTAATAAACACTCAAATTTCTTTCTAAAGTTTTATTTGGTGCATAATTTCTAACTGAATCTCGATTAATCTCATGAGCCCATTGATAGTCGCTGACGAAATGGAGAATGATCAATTGATTATTCAATCCATCATTGCAGCACTCAGGATATTAAGATGATTTACGCCGATTGTTTGTTTTGTTCAAGATGAGAGTATATGATTCACATGGTAATTACTAAAGAGTTGTTCGCATTGTAATTATTATAAACTCAACTTCGTTTGATGAAATTTGGCACACCAACACAGAGGTACAGATAAGCTGCGTATCTGCGTAAATTACGCAATAATTTATGTGAAAACTCAATTCCTGTTAAGTCTGTTGCGTACAAGTACGCTTGAATTTTTATAAATACTCTCAATCAATGGGATCTTACCTGTGTACACACAAAAATGTCAAATCTTAGCTTGTGTACCGGTGGATAGATAAATAACTGAGGTATATTGAGAGGTTCTATTTCAGAACATGAACTTGACAACTTGCAGTCTTTCTCCACGTTTCTCATATTACAGATAAAACATAAATAACAAACACTAACATTTAAACTTTATCATATTTTTAAAATTAATGGAAAATGGAAAATGGCAAAATACCCAATTGAGCCTGAGTACAATTTATTTGGCTACTCAAAGGAAAATTGGGATACCCAATTGATATGAACAGAAGTGAGTACATAACTCAATGACCCAAAAAGTTATCTGTAGCTCTGCCAACATTTTAGTTTTCAGAAGTAATGACACAACTCTGTATATTGTGCAGCCATAATGCATTCCTGGTACTAATGACCTGATAAACCTCACAGAATATCATGAACTATGGCACAACAGAACATAAAAGTAAAGGGGTTATGTGACTTACCTATAATATTTCCTAATGCCCAGACAGCCTGTTCGCAAACATTTTGATGCTGACTGTGAAGGAGACGAAGAAACAGTGGCACTGCTCCTGAAATTATACACAGCAGAGTCAAGCATTAACATAATGGATAGAATTACCACACACACACATCTTTTATGGAGCATGTACAATGTGAATGACCCCCCCTAAAATTTATGTACAAAGTGACCCCCTTGCATGTCACGTACAAAATCAATGACACTCCCCAAACTTAAAGCATAATTTTAAATATCTTTTTGGACAAAAAAGGCAGCCCCCTAGTACATGTGTACAAAATTGATGATCCTCTCCCTCCCAAATCAGCTAGTCTGACCATCAGAGCAAGCACTGCTAAAAACTAACTGTAACCTAGATTTTCACAGGGTATTTGAAACCTGAAGTAGGTGTCCCAACACACATACCTGCTCCAACCACTGCCTGTGTTTGCTGCGATGTTCCGCGGAGGCGATGTTAGTCAATGCCCATGCAGCCTCAAACTGTAGCGATGGACTGAAAAAGAAATCAGTTTCCAATATAAAATTATGTTGTAAAAATTCATGATACGTCAACAAAAACACAACTGATTTCAAAAATAATTCTTAAATCTTATTTCACCTTTCAGATTGTTCACTCTACAGTAAGTCTTAAATCAGCCAAGCCATAAACAGAATAACGTCCATTACAAGCATTGAGAGAATTAATGAGAGCACTTACTTGTCGTCTTTCAACAAACAGTCCACTAGAATAGGCAAGATTCCAGAGGCTATCAAATCATCAATAGGAGGGTTTCGATCACTTGAGAGAAGTTTTCTGGAAAACAATGAAAGACATTACAGACTGCCAAACATAGATAACAAAAAGCACCTGCCTCAACAGCAAAAAACCTGAACATTCTTGAAAGATCCAGTCTTAACTATGGTGTGAGTGAGCGCAGATACTGACTGACTGACTGAGTTTGGTTTTACGCCGCTTTTAGCAATATTCCAGCAATATCACGGCGGGGGACACCAGAAATGGGCTTCACATATTGTGTCCATGTGGGGAATCGAACCCGGGTCTTCGGCGTGACGAGCCAAGAGCGCAGATACAGTGCTCCTGACAGATAATGTATCAGCGCACTGAACAGATGAAAACTATGGATTGAATATGAACGTTGAATATGGATTGACTGCAAAATGCAACCAAACAAATTATATAAAGCAAAAGAATATCATGCGTTTTCATGCTACTGTTATTCGTAAGAACATTTTTTTTATTTATTTTTTTTTTTCAAAACACTGTCAAACTTCTGTTAACCATATTGGGCATTACTTGCCACCTCAACAGGAACATATTTCATGTCAGCAGCAAATAAGATTTCCTCCCAATAGTGCATTTCCATTGGCTAATAATAACATCCTAAAATCTTGTTATGTTTACTATATTTAGCAAAAAAAATCCAAATGTACAACACAAGTCTTGAATGAGGGTGGTGGAATAACATATCATTACTTGTGAATTTCAAGCAATAGAAGTATGGAAATTACTGGTTTCAAAAAAGTATGTTGGTACTTGTCTGTTCTAATAACACTGTACTCAATATGGTTGAACATTATCTGAAGCACTGCCAAGATTTATCAGAACCAGAAATATCAGTAAGTATCAGTAAAAATTCGCAAGTAAAGAACTTATTTTTTTTATATTTATACGCACATCTACTCATAACTTATGAGATGTAGAGATGACCAGTATTTCACTGACAATAAGGGCCACAAAAGGCCTTAAAGTTCAGTTTTACATTGCGTCAAATTTGTGGTTTAAAAGGCAACTGAACAAAATAACCATTGCAGATTTTGCTTGCCAAGGGCATTATATTTGAATGCCTATTCCTTGGTGCTTGTCTATAGAAAACATATTCCCATCATCAGCTGCATCAATGAGTCTCACAAAAAGTACCATATAATGAACTATACACAAGCATTCAGCATGTCATTCAACACTGCAATCAGGGTACATTGATATTCAACAAAGTCCCAGAACTTGACTACCTAATACATTACGGGTCAGCTGTTTACAAGCAGGAGGTAGTCATGACCTACTCTGACCGAGACTCCCCAAGTTGAGCATGCCAACTTAACGCCTAACCACCTGGGACTATCAAGTATTGAAGCTTAGCTGATTGATTACCTTGCAGCCTGCACAGCGCTAAGTTGAACAGTTGTATCTGGACTCGAAGCATTCAACACAATTGTTTGTAGGGACTGGCTCGTAGGTTTTTCATTGTCATCAGAATCTGTACTGTCTTGAGCAGGGACATTTCTCCGTTTCAGGACATGCTGATCTCGTTTATTCTGAAACAAGGTAATAGTCATAAGACCTATTAGCTGCCATTAAATCATCTATTAAAGAATGACAATGTGTCACTGTATGAAGTCACTAGATGAACATCTTAAATGATTCACAACAATGCACAATATACGGGGTTGATTTACCTATACATAATGTTCCTTACAAATTCTTCAAAATACACCAAATGCATGCGACCCATAAAACAAATCGGAATTTTGTCTCAGTAACCCTTACTATAGTCTGTTTGCAGTGAAAACGTACCGATGAATTTCACTTTAAACAAAAAAGTAAATCAAATAAAGTGAAATTAAGATTGCAAATCCTCATAACTTTACCTTGCCAATTGAACATAAAAATCTCAGAATTTTATTCAACTGAAAAGAAAAGTTGTTTAACAAACGATCATAGTTTCAAATCGCTATTATTGGCTTGTATTACAAGGGGGTATGCACATTAAATGAAACCCTGAGGACAAGAAGGGTTGGTTTCTACGGTAGTGTAGTTAACGCTCATCACGGAACGCACGTGCATTTGTCTCACTGTTCCAACTACTGCGCGTACCCCCTTTTAATACAAACCAATAATAGCGATTTGAAACTATGATCGTTTGTTAAACAACTTTTATCCTAAGTTGAATAAAATCCTGAGATTTAAATGTTCAATTGGCAAGGTAAAATTATGAGGATTCGCAATCTTAATCTCACTTTAGTGGATTTACTTTTTTGTTTAAAGTGAAATTCATCGGTACATTTCCACTGCAAACAGACTATACCTTACAAAACCTATATACAGTAATCTTTGAACACACTCAATACTTGGGATGCAACATATCCACGAGGTGAATACAATACTTATCTCAAATATACGGTAATGAAAACAAACATTTGTTCATGAATACAATAACAAATCATCAGTTACTGTGTTATTCAGTATAATCAGTGAAACAATAACAAAGTAAGTTATTTGACATGTGTTGATCATGATGACCACAGACCACATTACTGTCAAACTAAAACATACCAGTTGTGAATATTAACCAGTCTCTTCTGGATATATTCCATCTTTATCATGCTTGGAAAATATCTAACAAATTCAAGTGAAAGCAATCTTTTAACGAAAGTCCATGAATACTTGATTCTAGTGACTTCAAATAATGAACTGAATTCATGATGGGATACAGTTTGATTAACCAAATATGTGAGTCAATGTAACCATGGTAACATCTCTACTCAGTACCTGTAAGCTTTATTACCTTCCACACTCTATAACTAATCCCTGGGCTACAGGGAATTCATGTCATGAATTCATTATGATTTAATTATTTAGAACAGTGTTGAACCAATCTGGTTCTGTCTGGTGCCACCAGCTTTTTTATATCAACATACACCAGAAGTAAGTATAAACAAGTTATTTCAATTGAGCCCTGAATATGCAGCAACATGCCTGTGATATCTGTAAACACAGAAGTGCCCTACTTTGCCATGTAACAACTCTTAAAGGTGATTAACCTAAGTGATAACATCTTTTCCTTGTTTATGAATCCGGGGAACTCCCAGTCATTATCAATGTCCTGTGTATGCAACTTTTATGAAGTCATAGCAATACATGTTCTGGTCCTCCTCACAAAGCACTAAGGTGATCTTTAGTCACTAAGTAACCTTAGTGCAATGTTAAAGATGGGAGTTCAGGTTAACCTTAGTGAAGGTTGCTTCATGAAAGGAGGCCCTGAAGCCTGATGCTCTTGAAAGATTGTATTGACCAAGTTTGAACAATATTTCTAACAGCAGATAGTCCAATCGGAGGTTTGTTAACCATTTTTTACTATCAGTCTGGCCTGAATCTTCAATGAATCTTCAAACAGGGTAGCGTCCCATACTTCGTTCTTCAGGATTTATCTTCACAGAAAACAATTGCTTTGTTTATCAGGATTCACCCATAAAAAATTCCTATGGTTTAAGTTGTTTTGACTTAAGCTATTACAGAGTTCAACAAAAAACTGATGTAATCAAGACCCCACCTGTAAACTACCAGTTACAATCTTTCAGCAGCTGAGAATGTTTCCACTTCATTACATTCTTCTGTCATGATAGGTGAGGGGTCAAAAAGATAACAAAACAAATCTCACATTTAAGTTATGTTTTTGTATCATTTCCATTGTCATGGATGATAATCAATAAGGCTGCAATGAATACACTATGTGGCGAATGTATGCATCACGAATATTGGGTAACGAATGTGAATAATTATTCACGAATACAATATTGTAGTTAAGTTATTGATGCACAATATGGACGCCCATGTTGACAGTGTTAATTTGTCACAGCAATAACCAGTGATCTCATGACACTCCAATTTGGTATAGTCATAGTCGACAGTACCATGTGCGACCTTGGCAAACTAACATGACTTGCGCTACTGCAATGCAAGCACATGTTCCATTCTTGCATATCTAACTTTGAAAAAGGACATAAGGGTTCAAGCAAAACATACTCCCTAAAAAAAATCATAAATATTCATTAATATTCGGTTCTGGTGACTAGTGGTGTTCCGATTAATTGTAATAATCGAAGATTGGTCGCAGTGACCAAACAACCAAGCAATCGATCACATTTTCTCATAATCGAACACAAACGATTTTGGAAATGCTGTTTTAGTGTTTGAAACACTTGACGATGGAACATATCTTCGAAGTTGTCAGGGCCTGAAAACTTGTTTAATTCTTAGAAAACTCACTTCACTAACTGAAAAGTCATGACTGAATATTTCTTGAAGACTCCAGAAAGTTTATGTTCATGATATATTACTGATCACTTTAAAGTAGCAAGTTGCATCATGTTATACATATCTACAATAACAACCTTGGTAGGAAAATCTGAAAAATAACGCAAACCAATTTTTTCCGATGATTGTTCGTTGGTAATGAAGCAATCATCAATTGAGAGATTTCAACCAATTCCAACACTACTGGTGACCACGAATAACGAATTGAATTCATGAAGGTCTACGGTTGGATTCACCGAATACTCGAGTGAATCTTATCAGCCTTAATATTAACACTAAAAAGATGTTTTTCAGCAATATTATATGAACAAGTTTATATGGAAAAGAAACTTTGCCATGACACTCTGGCCCAGATTCTGAGGGGTCAGATTGGCCACACAACACATATTTGCATTGGTACTGCATTTTCTGGTAGATGTTCAGTCATTATACTGTCATAGAGAGATGAGGGCTATAAGAAAGCTCCCTATTACAAACTTGGAAAATCATTGATAACTACAATAGATGGAACATACCGAGTATTTTCAAAATAAGTTAAGACTGGTTGGTATTGTTTCAAAAGCTGCAATGGTTTCTTTTAGGGTAACTTAACAATTTCATAACTACGGGGCTCTCGATAAGCTTTTTGCAATTTGGGTATTTTACCCATGGTGTCTGTTATAAGTGGGTACTACTGATCTTCAGTGGGTACTCAAATTTTCCGATATTTTCTATGTCAGTAATTTAAAAAATGTTTAAAAAGATAACTGTGGCCAGTTGTTTGTACTTCAGACATTAACATGGTCGTTGTTTAAAGAGAAATACAAAAAATGTGAAGTTTTAAGTTACGTTATTATTTGACCAAATTGAAATACAAACATGTCGGCATGAATGTCATTTTAAACTGGTTCTGTTAACTGCAGCATAGTCTCATTTCCTCAGATTGTTTATTGAAAGATAACCATGGAAAATTAATTTTCCAAGCATCCTGTTTTTTTCGAAATGTTTTTTGCCGTCATGTTTCTTTGCCAATGCGTGAGTAACAGCGGTAAACAATTCCATCGATAGCAGCCTCTGATTAAAAAAAATTCCAGTAAGTTCATCAATAATTTCTTTTGCAGTGACAGATTTTTCAAAAGATTGATTTCAAACAGTGACAAATACCGAAATCTTACTTTGACAAAGTTTGTGATGATGTTTTAGAAGACGAATGCACACGCAATTTCTATCTGTTGATAAACAATGTAAGTCTAGACTTTCTAACAAGACGAGAGATTTCATTGGATGATATTTTCAGAAGAACTAATCAAAATGAGTGTTACAAACATAACTAGCTGTGTTTGCGCGATTGTTTCTTCTGTAGTCGATAAAGTGTACAGTTACCTAGTGAAACTCATTAGATAATCTACCTGATCCACTCGTAACATTTGACAGTTAGCTACTTTCCGTTATGCATATGTTTTTACTGGTCAGTCAGGGTACGCAAGTCAGACAACTATCCAAAGCGTTTCTGTAATATCCTTTGCCTAGTTGGGACGCTTATCTAGACTTCTGAACTATATAACAGAAATGACATTCTCGATATCCTGTATGTGATAATAGCAATTCTTTATCAGTAGTGATTGTATTTTGTTTGATGCAGATCCCCTTGACAGGATGTCTATAAGACCATTTCTATTTCATACATGAATTAACAATCACTTATAATACAGTTTCTGATCAATGAATAACACAATATTCTACACACATGAGCCTCGTTTCACATGTGACCATGACCTCAGATGTATTTTGGGATTACCGGCCTAAATGTGAAAATGCAATAAATGACATCATGTAGTAGTAGGAATTTTTATATGTGCTAGAGTGAAGTATTAGACCAGGAAACTATTACATGGACCAGACAATCAGAATTTTAGGCCTACCTATACAGGGCTCGATTTAAGAGATCTTAACCTACTTGCACAAGGTGCAACCTAAGATAAAAGCCTAGTTGCACCAGTCAAATTCCAGTTGCACTATTTTTATTGCAATATGTAATATCAGAAATATGCTATTGAATTATTCAGATGTTTTATTCAGAAGTTTACCCACTCAAAACTTGACTTGCGCCTGGTGCAAGTTAGACTAATAACTAGGTTGCACTTTGTAATATTGGGTTGCACCAGTGCAAGTAACAAAGCACTAAATCGGGCCCTGCTATATCAACAGGATTAGTCAAAGATTGATCAAACAAAACCCTTATCAGATATTGCATTCACACTTCTCACCAAACACTCAACTTTCCTGTTTGTGACAATCAAAGTGTCAAACTCCTGAAGTTACCTGGTTGTACAGTGGTTAACACACAAGATAAAGAAATCTTATGAAAAAAGTTGTGTTTCAGGGCTCCAGATAATTTTGCAACATCAGGAGTACGTACTCCTTATTTTTTCAATATAGGAGTACTGGAAACACTTAAGAGTACATTTAGAGTACTGAATGGAATTTAATGGAGTATGTGATCTTGTGTTTCGTTTCATATATGCACCACAACATTGCTACTCTTGTGTAAACAGGTAAAAAAACAATAAAACAATACTTGTTTCAGATAAATACGTCTGTAAATGATTCTAAGACTGTACACCATTGTTGTGGTGCGTATCTGCTACGTTTTCTAAATTATTTCCTACCGTATCGTGCATATTTATCATCCGTACATGATACGACCCTTATCTGGAGCCCTGTGTTTGACCAAATCACACATATTAAATGACATAAAATTGTATTATTGCCCACATGCTTCTGTACATGTATCATTTCTATTTGTCTTTTTGTAAATCCACATGGTTCAGTAGGTATAGACAGAAAATTAGTCTTTACACTGGATAAACATCCAACCAATATCAAATCTCAAACTTTAAAAGCAGATATGAAGACAAATAAATACCCATTTTTTATTTTACATGCAATGTCATTTACACAATTGAGATAACACATTTGTCTATGCAGTTGCAGAAACAATTTCTCAGTCAGATCACAATTAAATCGAAATACACTTTGATACCTAGCAGTACATTACAACCACAAGCTCCTTTAAATATATATCGTTTTCTCATTTGTTAACATGCGATACTACTGTCAGCACAGTTGATAGTAATATAAGTCTTTCAGTACAATTTTGTGAGTACTGTATCTTACAGATGTTCTAACTCAAAAGCTGTAGGTAGAAACATAATCACAAAAACAATATTTCCATAAATGAACATGATTGCAAAACAGAATTCATGATTATGAGAAATTTATAGATTATAGTTTCAAATCCTACATGGTCTGATAACAAAACATTCATTTATCCTTCCATAAAATCAGGATATATGTGTCCATATATTTTAAGAAGAACAAAAACAAACCACACTTCATCCCGGTTATCTTTCAAAATTGGAATTGTTTGTTTGCATGATTTAATTAATTTGGCTAACTTCTAACTCATGATCATGTGACCATACATGGAACACTCACTTTTCTCAGCTCTATGGTGACTTCAGTCCTCCGCCTTCGCATCTCCTGCAATCAACAAAAACAGCATATGAAATACATTGCCACATGACATAACTACCATTTCCTAATTTAATTTAATGTTTTTATTGAAGTCAACAACATCCTTCCTGATGTATACTGACAGTAAACATTTAAACCTTTCTTCTGACATTGACCTTGGCTGCAACAGCACATTTTTATTCACTTTCAGCACCCATGGCACAGACATTAAGTGAACACAGTCACAAACCTAATAATAAATTATGATACTCCTTTAAGTTGTAATTTTGTCCTAACGATACAAGCTCTATCCATGCAGCAACCACAATAATTGGACTTGAAGAAAACAAGGGTATGAGTATGGTGGCCACAGTAGATACCTGCATAATGTTAATCCAAATATTAATAGTTAACAAATGGGCATCCCCTTGTATATGAGGAACTTTAACATTGTTCTACTAAAAGGTTTATCAGGATGTACCAATGCGTATCTATTTATAAGCCCAGGACATTTTCAGTAAACAACCTGGTGGGTTCAAGGTATAAACATTCAGGACTAAGACTTGTGACCCATGGCACACTCGGTTAATGTTATTGATGCCATATCCCTTCAAATGCTCAGAAAACATAAGCCTATTATAGACAGGGAATCAAGGACAGAAAAAATCAACCACTGCCACCTGGGACTGTGAGGTTACGACGACATGATCTGGCAACGCAACACATAATGGCCATTAAAATACATATCAATGCTGCAGAACACAAGGTACATGAAATGAAAAATATATGTCAAGTTTAATAAAAGACAAACAAAACTGTGATAGAAGTTCATCATTCCAAGTAACTCTGCTGATGTCACTATTCAAGTGATAATTTGTCATATTAGTGATGCTGCTTGTGTATTTAAGAAAATAAAACAGCTATGACAATCTTCTTCTCCCTTATTAACCATGATGGTGAATCAGAAAAAGTAAGAAATAGAAATATTCTCCAAACAAGCATTTTGTAGGGAGAAGGTGACCAACCAAGCTTACATTTGTCTCTGCCATATATGTAAACAGCATCCTATGTTTAAAGCCACCCTCGGACAAAAAAGTGTTGCTAAGGGTGGTCTAGAGTACTGGTGCAAAAAAACCTATCTCACCAGTCCTCTGAGTTCATAATGTGTCTTGCATGAACAAGACAGAAACATTTACATTTTCAATCAGTTGTTTAAGTTCCAAGAACTGACTCACGTTAAATATCTGCATCAAAATACAATTGATACCCGCTCTGACACTGCGTTCGGTATCTCAGGTGCTTCGTTTCGAGGGAAGTAAACCCAAGTACAAAATATTGCACTTTTGATTTGCGATTGTACGCTTAAAATTTTGTTTATTTGTTTTTTTTCATAATCAGCAATGTATATTATATGTCATGAATAAGTGATAATTGTTTTTTAAATTATGTTTGTTTCTTTTTGGTTGCATGTGACCTTTAATTGTGTTTAATGCAGAAATTATAAGGGCCTTGAAAATGTATAATCCAGAATTGTAAATTAAATGTGAACTTGACAAATGCGAAATACAAATGGAAACTTGGCTCTCAATAACCCATTGCTCCTTGACCTGTTGGTGTCAGTCACATGTGCATGATTCACATAATAAATGTAGGAATTCATATATGGAAAAGTGATTCACAATGAAAAGGAAGGTGGCCAACTTTCTAAATTAAAACTGCTGACTGTTAATAAGACAAACTATTATGGATGTCAACTTTATTGTATACACAACGTTTCAGGGCTTTCCCTTGCCTCAAGCCGAAATCAAAAGAAGTGTGCCTTATACAGAGCAGTACTCACAATGTCACATAACTGCATAAACGTGACAAAGGATTATATGGTGCAAAGGGTAGATGTGAGTGTGTACCAGAAAATTACATAATTTCTGTGGAATTTGTGATTAAGGTCACAGGTAATCTTCATATTACATAATACACCCATGATATGAATAACCAACAAGAACAAACTCCTTACATAGAAGTCAAATACTATATACACATTTTCTGTAGACAGACATTTCCATACAAACAAAATGCTACTTGGCCAAGGGAATAGTTGAATAGAGGATCCTTACAAGCTTGAATACTAATATTAATTGTAAACACTGGGCAGGTGCTGACATGAACAATATACACCAAATACCTGAGGCAATCAATTAATCATGTCTGAACTTTGCATTAATTATTATCAGGCACAACCAACAATCCTTGTTGCTGTAATGATGAGGACACAATTTTGTTCACTGTAGCTCATATTATTCAAGTATTGATCAGCTGTTAATAAGGTGTCTAACTCTAACACTGTTCCTGATTAAAGATTCGTAAGAAAGGACAACAAAACATTCGTTAGTGATTGGTTATCATAAGAACGTAGTAACACTGTGATCGTTTCAATGAATCATTTGAGGGTCAAGCAGATGTCGATGACCTTTTTCTACAAAATTAATGACACAAACCATCACCAAATTACACACATTACAACATAACCTAACTCAGGTAAATATGACAGTTCAAGTGAAACACCCAAACAACATGTCTTATTGTTTTCACATTACATATAAATATACGGCGTGGTTTCTAGAAAAGAGCCAAACCATGCTGTTTTCCTACTTCATGTGACCTTCTCAAATAGCATTTCAGGCCTCACCTCTGCATCTTTTCCCTTGTTTTTGAAAAGTTGAACTCTTTGTTTAGGTATAGGGTCAGCAGACATCTTGATCAGTATACAGAATAAATGTTTTCGAGTTGTTTTTGATGTCCTTTATGCTATTTCGTGTTCACTAAATATGCCGGCCGTCTTCTCATGTCCTGTCTCGTGAGGTCATCTGAAAGCCTTTCCCTGATTGGACGACGGCCTTGGTTAGTCTAGAATGAAGTAAGCCATGTAATATGAAAATGCCTGTGTGTAAACACCATTCACCTACAGATTATGCACGTACATATACAAGGTACCTGACCATTTTATCACATAACCGTTAATTTCAAATATAAGTGTTTATTTCATGAACGTTCGACTAACATCAGTAAATATATGAACCAATGAAACATTTCGTTCTATTACCATTTGCCAGATAAAAGCAAAGCTAACAGTGAGAGCTTCGAAATTTATGACCATTCTTCAGACGCTTAACTTCACTTATGAATAACAATAACTTAAATAAATCCTTTACAAAGAGTAGTTGTTTTCATCAATCCTGAAAAACCATTTTCAGAAGTACGTAGCGTAAGAAATATATAAACTCAAGACTGTGCATGCCACCTCCTGCGGACAATATCAATGCAGTTTAACTCTAGTGTTGTCGCTGCACGGAGCTCCATCTATTTGTTAACTTTACGTGTTCTCTCGCACTAACCGGTTTTACTCTAGGTACGCGCCATAACCTAAGCGCCGTTACAAGTTTAGATAGACAGATGCCCAGTCCAGTCAAAAGGCGGCTAGTTGTTCTAACTGGGTTTGCAAACTTTGCGTACTTTTAAGTTTTTCACCATGGCAGCTATAATAAGTGCCGTAACCGTAATTTCCCTCCTAGTGACCGCATTATATGCCGTTATCAGTGTGGTGACAGCTTACAGTTTGTGCAAGAGAAAGAATATTTCTTCAGCTATCGAGAAGTGGGTCGTTTCTTGGTTGGTGTTTGACGCGATCATTCACTTCACGCTGGTAAAGTAGTTTCTTTACAAATCTTTACGTAGTACATAGTTGTAAATCCAGTGAAAAAAGTGCAAGATTTGTATCTATTCAGGGGGCAAGTGTGAACATGCTGAATGGTGAAGGGGAACACTTTTTATGGATAGACAACTTCTTTATTCCAATTATAGATGATTTTATGTCAAAGAAAAATAAGTTGAGCTAGAGAAAATGGACATGTCTATTCTACTCGTGACCATGCATGTCATCATTGATTTTCAATGGTACATTCATATAAATTTCCCTTTACACCCTATGAAATCTGTGTCAGCAGATCATAAAGACTGGCTATTCACTGCCACAGACAGTGTTCTAAGTGATGTACATTTGTGCGTCCAGTATGCGCAAATGTAGAGAATAGTTGCAGAAAACCCAAAATACTGTGGCAAGAGAGCACAAAAATAGAGAGAGCATACCTACAGGGCATCTAGTATACAGCTAAACATCTTGTTCCTACCAAGGTATACACCGACATGTATACCTTGGTAGGAATAAGACGTTTAGCTGGCTAAACTACAGGGCATCAAAAGTAGTTATGTGTCTGTCAGGACCACTGTCCACATGACCACTGAATTATTACAACACTACACTACACTACACTACACTACACTACACTACACTACACTACACTACACTACACTACACTACACTACACTACACTACACTACACTACACTACACTACACTACACTACACTACACTACACTACACTACACTACACTAAATAAACAACATTAATAACATTTCTGTCTGTCAAATGACTCAAAGTATTCAAGATTTCTGATTCTTAGTTTAATATGTAGACTTGCAGAAAAGCTGTAATGTAAGTATTAGCAGTAAAAGGTAAATAGAGCACTGAGTAATCCCCAAGAAAATCCCCTTTGGGAAGCCACTCAGGAAAAGGAATGTTACTATTAGTTTACTGAAAATACAGTTCTTTAAAAAATGGTCAGCACCTCTTCTAATCATGGGATTGTCAGGTCCAGACTTGATTATTTAGTATTTACAGTCCACTGTAATATAGCTGGAATTTGTTGAGTGCAGTATTTGAGATATATGGCATGTGCAAACTGATACTTCCTCTGTGTTTTGGCCAGCAATGTTTTGACCATGTATAATTGGTGTCTTGTTTTGTTGTCCAGGAAGGACCATTTGTCATCCTCTCCAGCCTTGGAACGGTTGAGAATTCTACTCACTTCACAGCTCTCCTGTGTGAGTAGAATAGTTCTTGTAATAGCTTAGGGGCGGTGGGGTAGCCTAGTGGTTAAAGCGTTGACTTGTCCTGGATTCAGTTGCTCAGATGGCCACAATGTGTGAAGCCCGTTTCTGGTGTTGTGATATTGCTTGAATAATGCTAAAATCAACGGAAAGACATCCTCACTCACTGTTATAGCTTAGCTTTTAGACCTGTTTTAACAACCAACTATATTGTTTTTTAACCTTGTGGTAAGTGCTTATAAATGATTAGAGTTTGATTTCCAGAGTATCAAGTGAGACTGAAGGTATTGTGCATTGTGTGTTGTACAGGGCAGGAATATGGCAAAGCGGACAAGCGCTGGTTGGTGTCAGACCCTACGATCGTATCCCTGGAGATGCTAACTGTCTTCCTAGACGGCCCGCTATGTGTGATACTGGTGTATGCCATTGTGGAAGACAAGCACTACCGCCATTTTGTACAGATAGTCCTCTGTGTCTGTGAACTTTATGGAGGTATGTGAAACATGTACCAGGGTTCTTGATTATATATTCTCTTTCCTATTGCATTCAGTGTCTTAAAAAGTTGAAGATTTTTCATGTAGGCTCAAATAAAAGAAAATTATACCAATAGGTATCAAGTGGCCTCAAAGACAGTGAAAAATGTCTGAAACAAATGCAACATAATAACTCCAAGGGTTAGCTGGAAAGTAAAACTGCCTTTAGACCATACCAGTACAAGAGCACACATGCATGCATTACATAGTCTCCATTACAGACCCTGGAAGCAAATATATCCAAGAAAGCCCACACAAGTCTAGAAAATGTGGCAAGTCTAGATTTCCTATGAAGAAAGTCTCAGGGCTCCTATTCATTATAATTATTTTTTTTTACTATGAACTTTTTCAGTAAAATATGTTCATTTCAGAGACTAGCTGTTAGTCTAGCACGCATTACACGCACACACTCTCACACTCACACACACATGCATATGCAGGTACACATGCTACACACATGGCTCTATATGTACAGTGATCTTAAAATCTCATTTGACCTCAGCTTAACTCACTGACATTTAATGAATTGTTTCAGGTTGGATGACATTCTGTCCGGACTGGTTTGTAGGCAGCCCCAACCTGGTGACTGACAACGCCCTCTACCTGTGGGTTTATCTCGTGTTCTTTAACGGCCTCTGGGTAGTGATTCCACTGGCCATGTTGTGGCAGTCCTGGGTTCAACTCCGAGAAGCCCTCTCGCCAAGAAGACCAACATCCTTAAAACTTAGTGGGGGGTCTTCTTCGCAGGGGTCATACACATCAATTATACAGACGAAAATTTCCAAGTCAGAATCAAGCAGTATTGAAAGTAGCTCACGTGGTTACAATCTTCGTAAGAGGAACTAAGCTTGTGTCTGGTTACAAATGGCGAAATTGATTACCCAGTAATTATATTTTTATACAATTATACTTTTTAAGATGTGTAAATCAAGCTATTTTGATCGCATCTTTTAATTTTGATTTAATTTTTTTTTTTTTTTTTTATGAATCATCAGGTACTGAATGTACATTTTAGTATTATAAGACTGGATTTTTAATGTTCAAGAAAAGAATTGGGTGAAATGCCAACCATTATGGTGTGAAGTAACAATTTTGAACATAAAATTACACTTTTCCTGCAGCGCATATTCACGATGTTTGTTATTGTTTGACAATGTATTTACATACATAAATTAGCACAGACAATTTGATAATGTACCAGTGACAGGAAGCAACCTCTAAGACAATATTGCCCAATGAGAACTATGCTTTCATTACTCAATGATACAAAGTCTCTGATAGGGTAAAGCACATAATTTTCGGTACCGATAGGTAGTTTTTCTGTGTAAAACAACACAATTTGCTGTACAGAAATGTGCCAAGAATCGTCCTGTTATTCTTATATTTTCGGTCCTGTCAGAAATCTTAATGTGGCAGATAATGCCCCTTGGATTTGTGTGTGTCCTATTGCATGTACCATTTTACTTGTGTTATCTCTGGTTTCCACGAGATTACTTTTGTGAATGAATCTAAACTGTCGCGCATAATCCACAAAATCATATTTCCAGAAAGTGCCTGAATATTTTTACATGGCCATGGGACTGTCTAAAACGATTGACAATCAGAAATATCATCAGTTGGAAAAATTATTAATAGTTATCAATGTGAAATATCAATTATGATATATAAATATATAAAAGTTTGGCTTCAGTTATAGTGCACAGAAACTTTTGCTTACACAATACATGAAGTGAGGCCTTTATTCATGGACTACTTCTAAATTATGTTCAGGACATAGTTTTGGTCATCTTCCATGCATAAATATGTCACCACCTGCCAGTGATGTGAAATATGTTGATTTCTTTCAGGCATTTTTACTCAAAATCTCTTGTCCGATATATTAATCAATAATTGCTCAATTTTTAGTTCACAATTATCAATCTATATGGTGTATGTCGATAGTAAGCCCTACTTGGACAAGGGCACAGTTAACATGTCGGTTGTCCTATCATCACAGCATGGTTGCACTGAGGTTGAGCCAAAAATCCAGCAAAGACAAAATATATTATGGGTGACAACTTCCTTATTCTGTTATGTGTTATGTTCCATGTAGGTCTTAACATAGTTGTCAAGCAAGAGTGATGTTATACAGCACAACACAGACTTACAGATTGTTTGACAGGATGCATATTCTGCCACATAATATTGTGATAGGACAGTGGATCACGTGGTCTGATATAGGAGATCTTATTCTGACATTTGGGATGGGTGGACAAAACATATAGGTTCATTATTCAGCTTCAGTCCAAATCTCCCTACACTGCAGGGTCGGTGGGGTAGCCTAGTGGTTAAAGCGTTCGATAATCATGCCGAAGGCCCGGGTCCGATTCCCCACATGGGTACAACTTGTGAAGCCCATTTCTGGTGTCCCCCGCCGTGGTATTGCTGGAATATTGCTAAAACGGCATAAAACCATACTCAGCCAGCCAGTCAGCCCTACACTGCACAACTTCTCACCACATCAACAAGTTCTTGAGGCATTTGAACATACTTCACTGGCTCTACACCTCTTTAAACCCTACCCAACCACAGTGCCTGGAACTCGTTCATGTTCAGTCCCTTATATTGTATTTATTTGTCTAAGATAGATGTATGGAAATCTGTATTTTGCTGCTTAACATTACTCTTGTTTCATAACAGTATAAGGATCTATACCAAAAATTCTCACCATAATAGTTTAAACTTGTCATGAATATAATTTCTTGCCTTTTCTGTTACTGTTTCTGTAACTGAACAAAGCGTGAATCAAACAGGTCAAAGCCAAAATTCTTGTACGGAAGGCCAAGGGCAAGAATGTCCAAGTGGTTTATGGCAGAGTAATTCACTGTACAAATTTGTATCAAAGCCATGACATTATTTCGGCTGTCAGATCAACCCGTGAAGGTCCGGGTTAAAATGAACCTTCGGTAACCCATGCTTGTCGTAAGAGACGACTAACAGGATCGGGTGGTCAGCCTTGCTGGCTTGGTTGACACATGTCATCAGTTCACAATTGCGCAGGTGATACTCATGCTGTTGATCACTGGATTGTCTGGTCCAGACTCGATTATTTACAGACTGCCGCCATATAGCTGGAATATTGCTGAGTGCGGCGTAAAACTAAGCTCACTCACTGTCAGATCATGATACATTAAATCACAGTTAACCAACTCAGAAAGACCACATGTTTTAGTTTGTTATATCTGTTTTGTTATGTTTCGACTAAAATATGCAGCTACTGTTTATTATATCTGTCAGTTCGTTATTAACGTTTACTGTATGAGGTTTGTCAGCAGTATTATTTGTAGCCATGATTTGCTCAAATTGTTCCTTATTAAGACTTTACATGAGTATCGTTCCATCATTGTAAACGTAAAAGACATGTACATATTGACTTATTCATATGAAATCAGACTGAAATAAATGAATTTAGAAAATGTCAAATTTAATTGTCATATATTCTCACAGCTGCAGGTTTTGTTTGTACTTTTTGTTTTTCTTTTTGTTAATAGCCACAGACAGCAATATTGTAACTGTATGACAGGGGTCTGTGTATGATCAAGTCTGAACCTGACAATCCAGTGATTGATGTCATGAGTATCAGTCTAATGAATATCAGGTCTAATGAATGTGCTACCACCCATGGCAAAGAATGGGGGGAGAATGGGGTAGGGGGAGAGAGACTGGGGTAAAACTGGTGTGGATAGTTCATATTAGTATTAATCACAGGATTGTGTGACCCGGACTCATGGCCTACAGTCCACAGTGATACAGCTGAAATATTGCTGCAGGATGCAAACATGTGACATGCAGTAGCCCAGTAGTTAAAACATTTGTTCATCACACTGATCGAGTACCAGATTTGATTACCTAACTTTGTAGGAACCTTATTTCCAGTTTTCCTTTCCCTGATATTGCTGGAATACTGCCAAACAAACTTACTCATACACTCATCAGGCAGTTGCCTAGATTGATGCTTATGTTGTTGATCACTGGATTGTCTAGTCTGGAATCGATTATTGACAGACTGCCTGTAATGTTGGTAGAATTAATAGCGGATCATGTTTATTGTGACTTATTATATTATTAGCGGTTATGCGAGTTGCGTCCCTTGATCGGAAGTATTAAAAAGCACATGTTGGATGCGATGCAGTGCGGTGCCAGCTATATGTGTTATTCTTTTTGTGACTGTAGTTCAACTTGACATGAGAAAATGTGCGATATTCAAAACCTCACAATGTTTTTACGAGGCCAACGACAGATCTCTGTAATAAACCATTGGACACCATGAAGCTGTGTTGCGAATCTATGGGGCTTCAAGTTTGACATAGGATAGGTTTCCTTCAGTGACAGACCGTTACACTGCCACAATAACCAACACTCATCAGGTTTGCTTGACTCGGGATGGCTGGAATGTTTCTGATTGTCGACTGGAATGCCTTAACACTCACTTGTTGCCAGGTGACTGGGATGGTGAAAATTCTGCAGAACAGACTGGGGACTATTCTAACATGGAATCCCCACGTGTAGACAAGCACAGGTTGCTGGGGACTCTTCTAACATGGAATCCCAACAGGGAGATACTAGTAAGCGGAGGTTGCTTTGGACTATTCTAGCCCGGAATCCCAAAAGGGAGACAAGCGTAGATTGCTGGGGACTATTCTAACATGGAATCCCCACGTGTAGACAAGCACAGGTTGCTGGGGACTATTCTAACGGGGAGATAAGCATTTCAGACGGGAATCCACATGTGGAGACCAGCATCTATAGGCTGCTGGGCACTGTTCTAGACCGGGAATCCCAACGGACATACACATTTATGATTCATGAACGGTCGAAGTGACCTATATGTTTCTTGGTGAAGTTTATCCTTCTAGTCACGTAATGATTATGTGACATCTCATGAATAAAATTCATATACAGGCTTCGTGTCACGTTAGAACTCAAGAGTTCCTTCATGTAAACATCATCCATGTGGGTGTTTGTGCTATAGAGATAGCTGGAATGTCCGTTTCCCAATGCGAAGGGGAAAGGTGAAATGCTAATATCGCTCAGCATTTAGGACAGTTCAGCAAATAGTCTATACTGAAAACTGAAACGGTTTCAAAGATTTATATCACAACGCCCTTTGCACAAAGTGATCTAAGCTCTAGGACGGTGGTAAATGTGTAATTTGCAATGCTTCCAACCCCAAGAGAGCCTGAGATGCCGGGGTCCAAAGACCGCAGGCCCCAGCTGGGTCCAAGGTATAGTAGTACCTTGTACTGTGTGTAATTTATGAGTGACCAGTAATGGCGAATTGTCTGTCCCGGGTTAAATGTATGTTGCCAATTTATCCCAATCAAGGTGCAGATCGAGTTGCGTCCATTAAGAGTGCCATGGTCTGGAGACAAAACAGATGGAACACAACGCGAAAACGCACCATGCTTCGCGGAAAACCGAGGAGCATGACTTTTCACGTGCGGTCAGACCACGTGCTCTGGACCACTCGGGAAAACGATCGAATTGGTCAATTGTGGTCAGGTTTTGCTTGGGTTAAGGTCTGACTTGAGTATAGACGTCAGTTTAGTTCAGGTTTGGCTGGAGTTTGGGTGTTAGTTGAGTTAGGTGACAGGCCGTCACCAATCGTTTTATCAGCTCGTCAGAATAGGTTGTAGGTCAGGGATAATCTACTATTCAATTCTCCCTGGACTGATATTAAGAATTTAATAGTGCATCGAAATAGAAGTCCCATATAGCTAACTACAACAGAGCTAGATAGTGTAGAGAATAGATTTTACGCTGTAATAGAGCTAGATACTGTAGATAATAGAATTTATAGGTGCCACATTAAGTTCCTTTCCCCATTAGCATTTGTCGAAAAAGATTCACGTTTAGTTCCCCATATTTATAGTTTGAATTATTTCATCAGTTTAATCAACAGAGTCACGTTTAGTTCCCCAAATAGCATATTTCGACACTTCATATTTTACATAGTTTAGTTTTCAATTCCAATTCCACTGCGCAACAATGGCAGCAGAACGTGGTTTTCTGTTACATTTTCATTAGAACCATAGAAGGAATAAAACTCATTTGATATTTAGATGTCCGTGTGTTAAAACAAAAGGTAACAGCCAAATCGAGTTGTACCAAAGCTAGGAATAAGCTCATGACTTTGATAGAAAGTGATGATCAGCCATCACAGAAAAAGGTAAGGGATGGGGTAGATCAAGTGAATGAGCTTTTTGTGAAAGCAATAGATGTTATGTTGGAACTTTCAAAGGTTTACGTTAAACTGGAAGATCGTGAGAATGTTGAAAGGTTGGATCACGAACTTGATACGAACTCATTTTCCGTGTGATATTCTTGTCAAACTTTTAGTGTAACCCGATAGTGAAACGACAGTGTGATGCCGATTTGCTGTTCAAATTCGTGAAATAATAACGGGTGATACCACATGTACATGTATATGAAATGGTTTTTAATGATGAATGTTCATATTAAAAATGAATCAAATTTGTATTTATGTATTTATTTTTTATTTTTTTGATCTGCATATAAATTAATAAATGTTCCCGATGAACGGGTCAGGTTGTCTTGATACAATGGGGATACGATGTCTATTTACTTTACTTGGAAAGGTTATACAAGCGGCAAGACGGATAAGTGGCAAGACGGATAAGTAGCAACTTTTGTCATTGGAGTTTTTCTTATCCGGGTTTCACTGTAGTTTAGAAGAGGAAACAACAGAGTTCTTAAATCTGTAAAAAGATATTTACAAAACACATCGGGATATTTACAAAACAGATCGGAATATAGCAGATCAAGAAAAAGCTCTTTGTCCAGTAGGGGGTTACATAGGCTTTTCAAAGAGGGTGAGAAATCCCAAATTGTTCAGCAACAAAGTGGTGTATCTCGGCAACAATCTCATGCTGGGTAAAGGCAACAACCTGAGGTACCTGACCATAAACGTTTGATATCAGAAGGACTGCACTAAGGTGAAGAGGATAGCCTAGCACTGAATGTTAGTGAAACAAAACGCCCGGTTAAGTCTGATAACCAAGCCACTGGGAATGATGTGCGGAAACTGTTAAAGCGTGTTTCTCTGCCTTTATGACTTGCATTGATCAGTCCCCAGCAACACCTGAGTATAAGTTGTTGCAGTTACGCCAATATATGTCGGGGAAAGCCTTGAAATCAATTCAGTCATTAGGTCATAGCTCAGTAGCTTATGATGTTGCTCTGAAACGTCTTGATAGGAACTTTGGTGGGAAACGGCGACGGATTGCAATCCAAAATGAATATAGAAGGTGGGAAGCGGCGACGGATTGCAATCCAAAATGAGGAAATTAGTAATTTCCAGCCCATTCGAGAGGGTCATTTTGAGGATCTGGAGAAATTCGCTGATTATTTTGATGTTGCAGCTGCAAACCTCAGAGAATCAGATAGGGAAGAGCAGTTGGGAAATGGTCTCCTTTATGTCACTTTGTTAAAAAAGATGACTGAACCTATGGTGGCACAATATCAAAAGTGGGTGTTGAAAAAGGGACAGGCAGGAGTCAATAGAGACTCTCAGCGAATGGATAATGTTAGATGCAGAATTTCAGATGGCAAAGGGGGCACTACGTGGATTGAGTAATAATAATAATAATAATAATAATAATGAGAAGTCTTATAATGGTCTAATCTCCACGCAACAAA